AGCCTTTTAATAAATCGCTTTACTTGTCATACATTTTACGCTTAGTCTTCGAAAAGACAAACGAACCTTCTTCATTCAGCTCATATTTTTAAAATTATCGATGTTACTAATAGTCTAAACCAGTGGTTCTCAACCGGTGTGCCGCGAAAAATGTCTGATATTTGTGATTATGCTTGTAGGCACAACTAGGGAGGGCGCAATAGGGTTTTTAGAACCCCTGAGTTCAAATGTTAGCACTCCTGATTTTTTTTTTTGTTCTATATAATCTATAGTAATTACAGTTAAATACCATTTTATTTTATTTTCAGCGATTTCAGTAACCCCAATATTTGGGCTCAAGTTGCGCCCATGATTACGCTGATAAAAAAATAGAAAACAGTAGGTATTTTATTTCATTGCATTTATTTTCAAAAAATACAAAAACAAAAAAATATTAGAGAACTAAATTATTTAAGCAAAGAAATATTATATCATAAAGAGAAAATATATGAAATTATTAGTGAGAAACTTGAGCTTGTCGTTTCTTACACAAAAGTTTCAAACTTGATCGAATTGAAGACAAGCACACACGCATTTTCTGATCAATGGAAAGAAGCCTCTCCCGTTTTTTGTTTGTTTATGTTTTTTAATGTTGAAAAGCTTAACTTGCATAAGTGTGCACTCTATGGTTTTAACCTAAATGGATATCTTAAAACGTATAGTGTGCCGCAAAAACTTTAGATGTATATTAGTGTGCCGTGAACAAAAAAAAGGTTGAGAAACACTAATGTAGACATTTGTGTTTATTATTTTAGTTCTATGATTTTGTAGTGAAACAAATATCTAAATTGATTTTTCTTAAAAAGACGTTATGAACTGAAACTCATACGAAACTTACTGACTTAAACAATTTAACCGGGTTTCTTAAAGGTATAACAAATGTTTAAGAAGAACTAAATGGCACCGTTCAATACCGCCAGTGTCCAAATGAGTGACGTATTTCATATATTGGCCATTAACACGATATTGGTTGTGTAACTAATTTTTAACGTTACCTGGCAACTATAAATTGCAATTAAATTACTGCTGCGAATTAAAATAATTCGAAGTTGCCCGTGTTTAACAGACCAGTGAATCATTTTTTATTTTTGTTTTTGTCAAGCTACGTCTTACAACGAAATGAAATCGACGAGGTAAACGAATCTATACTATACTATCATACAATACATTGTGCGTGCCGCGATTGATTAATAATTGATTTGGTTCCTCTGCCACGAAGTTTTTGCGTCCAACGTTCGAATGTAAGATGCATCATATTTATGTATTTTACAGTTCCAATAGTATTGATTCTTACGAGATGTCTCTTAATTCTATTGTATTAATTCTAAATGTATCAAATCATCAATATGTTCTTCAGTCATATGTTCTGAGTCTACATTGTAAATTAGTATATTTAGTTTCAATGATATTCGTATGAAAACATTTAAATCTTTTTGTACTATTGCCGCTCTAATATTTGAGTCCGCAGGTTTTATGTAGATGTCTCCGGTTCTTTTAATGGTGTTGGTTACCATTATCTTCGGTGTAGGATTTCTTTTTAGCATTTCCAAATATGTTTGATTCTTTAACTCTATTGATGTTTTACTCTCGGTATTTTTAATTATAAATCCTGTTTCTACTTTATCGTTTTTAGCTTTTTCTGTAAGTTTCCTAGAGCGAGGTCTTCTTATTTTCTTCTTTGTTACAAGAGTACATTGCTTCTTTTCTCTTGGTGTATTCGGCCTTTCTCTGGCTCCTAGTCGAGACAGAATTGGTCGAGGTGTTGTCTTACTGGTATATTTCTCCTTATAATATTGATCTAAGGTATTTTTTATACCTCTCTTATAGTTTTCTTGTGCTGTTAAGAATAAATATGTATATATATATATATTTTCGTTTGATCTAATTTACCTTTTAGTATCTATATTTCTAATATAGATTTTATTTTTATAAAAATTGCTTATTGTGAACATTTCACAGATTGTAATATTGTAACTTTTATATAACTAAGGTCTTTCGGATCGATATTTTCTTTTCCAAGTTGATTTATAATCAAAAGAACTCTTAGTATCGGAAAATAAACGAATATTTGATTTCCCGCCTTCAGTTGTTCAATTGTTTACTTTTCGGACTTGTAAAATTTTTTTAAATAATTATTATTTGACTTGTTGAATAACCGGTTAATAACACAATGATTTATTGATTTCGAACTTAAAATATTCAATTTTGTTAAAAAATATTTTATTGTCAAAATATTACTTTTTTGATTTTTAAATCGGCCTTTTTAATTCTACAACCGTACAAGTACACACTCGTGTGAAGGCATTATTCATATATACATAATTCGTACTCAAAATACGAATTTTAAGTACCAGTAAAATATGCTCAAGACAGATTCGGTAAACTACATCGTCTCCACCTCGTCTATAAAATCAAGATTAAGATTGTGGCTAGTACTAATCATTTGGAAATCCTAAAACCATTATCTGAGGCGAAGATGGCGGCGGTGGTCTATCGATACTTGGGCAACGTGGATTTCAAAATCTTTTTCACCAGGATTTTGTTGGTGCGGACCATTTCCGTTTGTTGCTTGTTCCAGATTGATGTAAGACGACGCCTATAGGTGCTCTCAAAAAATTAACTAATTTTTACTGTTACTGTTGGAGGCTGTTTTTTATACTTCGATAATAGAATCAATACTGTATTTTTAACGGTGATTGATTCGTTTTATACTTCGATATAACAATTTATCTTCGTCCGTTCTTAAACGATTAATGGATATGATGATAAGTCTAGAATGTCCCTTCGTAAAATCCATTGGCGAGTTCATAAACGACGATTTTTGGGTTTTTAATTTTTTAATTTTAACAACTCTTCAAGTAATAGATCACGAATTAATAAAATACTAACTCTAAACGGATAAGACATTTTGTCTACTCTTTCGACTAGAATGTAGGCAAGAAATAGCTGAACGTGGAAACATAATACATTTTCGATTATATTAAACTCGATTTACATGAGTAACTTAAAACATTAGGTCGATTGCAGTCGAATGATTATCGCCACACGACAATACGTCGAACCCGATCGAAAGTATTTTATGTTTACACATTCAACTATTTCTTGGATGCATTTTAGTTGAAAGTGTAGACAAAATATTTTATCCGCTAAGTGTTGGTATTTTATTAATTTGTCGTCTATTGCGTGAAGTTTTTAAAATTAAAAAAAATTAAAACCCAAAACGCATTGTTAATATGGTCTCGTCATTGAATTTTACAACGGAACATTTTAGATGCGCGGGGAGGGTCATCGGATAGTCTGATAGATGTTAATTTAACAATAAAAGGATTACAGTGATTTAGGATGTTTTAGTGGAATTTATTATAATTATACGATACCAGTCCTGGTATCCGTTGGAACGTTGAGATGTATTACTGACATACCATAGGAAATTAGTGAGGGGAAACGAAGTTTTTTTGATTGAAATTATTAGAAGATTTACAGGTTAGAATTTTTTTGTAGAACCCCATAATTGAATGCCATACGTCAGTACAGAAGTATCAGTTTTTCATAAAATAATTAAACATTTTGTTTTAAATTGAAATTTTCGAACGGATTTTTACAACTTTAGAATAGACATTTAATCTCTGATTAAAATTCGATTTTTTTTTTAAATAATTTTTAATTTGTAAGGATATTCCGAGCATAGGTGTGCGCAGGGAGTATGCAGTTAAGGCAGTTAGTACAGGGAGTATGCATACCCTAAACATAGAGCCTTGTTTCTAAAAATACAAAAAATAAATAAAAATCATTACATGTTTTGTCTTTAAATGTATATTACGTGATTTTGTGTTACATTATGATATTTATTATACTTTTATATTCAGTCCCAGACATTTTTATTTATTTTTGAAACACATTATATACTACTCGTATAATAATAATTTAATATGTTAATGAAATTAAAAAGTACCATGCTTCAAAAGAGATTAAATAGTTTTCTACTACAGAGCAAAAAATGGCTATAAACATAGACATTATTGATTTTATTAAAAACTCAACTGAACACAGAATTGTTTTTTGATAATTTATCAAGTTGATTTGGTTTTTTCAATTATATAAACTATTACGTTTTTGTTTACTTGCCCTATTTAAATATATTACTGAAACCATTTCAAGTGTTATATATTTAATTTTTTTTTCGTAATTTATTTTAAATTTTTAATCGTAATTAATTTTAATTACGAAGATTAATTTAATTAAAAAATAACTATTCAGTTACTTTTTTGTAGGAAAAAAAACGTACCCTGAAAAAGATGTCTGTGCATGCCTAATGGTTCCGAGTACATCTATGTGACATTTCTAGAAGTTGGATGGATGTTTGGATGTTTAAGAGTGATATTTAAATAACGTTAACTGTAAAACAGCAACGCGGAAAATTTTCAATTACATAGACGTTACTTGAACTCAAAATTCACAAAGAATGCAAAGTTTCATGTTTCATTAAAACCACTCGGTAACATTACTGGGACAAATATTACACAGTGGGTAGTTTTACCATAAACATATTGTAGCGTCTATAGTGAACAAGATGAGAGAAAGCACATTGAGATGGTTTGAGCATGTAATCAGACGAGAGGAAACAAATACAGTAAGCTGTTATGAAAATTAACATTAAAGAGAAAGAGCAAAAAAGAGATGAATAGGTTAGATAGATTGGATACGATTAAGAATGATAAAAAGGTTGGCGTGTATGAAGGGGATGTAGAAAATCGAAACAAGTGGAAGTTTATGACAAGGGCGGCCGACCCCAAATAGTTGGGAGAAAGGGCGAAGGAAAAGAAGATATTACTTAAAATATGTAAAACCATACAATTTCGGTAACAATTTTGTTTATAATATAATTTTGTCATTTTTTAATAACAGCCTATTAATTTATTATTATTTTATCGTGATTTTTTTTGTTTTTAGTACAAAAACATTACAACAACAATAGTTAAATTACAGTAAAAATGTACAAAAATAAAGTTATAACTATGTCAAAATATCTAGATTATAAAGCCGACAGAAATGCAATTTACACTGACATGATTATTTTGTGTAGATATTATAAAATAATGGGCTGACATATTACGAGTATACGTTTAAAATTCTAAACTATTGTTATTAAGAACTACAATTTATACTGTTAGTAGATGTTAACTTAAATTTATATCTAAGATACTTATTTTTCAATTGTCATGTGTAATATAAAATATAAATGAAAATACTAAGTACAATAATTTATATCAATTGTTTTTTCATGTATGTTTTTCTGGATGGCTTAATCATAGGGGCAGTAATTTTATTGATAGAACTCGAAAAATTACCATAAATCGAAACTGGCTGACATTCAACATATCCAAGTTTGGAATAAAATTCTTTTTTATCTATAGTAGATAAGTACACAGTAGATAAACCTAACCTAAAACATTAATATTCAGTATAATAATAAAAAATTTTAATAATAATATTATATTTACGTTTTAATATATTCTTCAGTCTTATACATAATATATTTTCCTAGACCTCGTCCTCGTTGATCTTTTACAATGACCACTAAAATATAAAATATAATATATTAATTGTTAAAAAATATAAATTCTGAACAAAATGAAGAAAGTATCAGTTTTACACAGATATATTTTGTATTTTATCTGTTTTCTTTACTATACAGAGTAGGATTCTACATCAGAAATTGGAAACAAAGTATTAGATATAGAGTTTATTTTTCATCACTAAATCTCCCCAAAATGAGGAAGAAATTAAAAAATGATTTTAACAACTGTAAATATAATTTTTTTGATAAGATGTGTAATTATTTGAAATTAGAAAATTTCACAAAATATAAAGCTCTATGACTGAAGCCATTTATATAGTAAAAATAAATCCGGATAAAACACTCATTGAATTTTATTTTTATCACTGTTAAATTTATTAAGATGACTGAGATCAGGGACGTAATTTAGGGAGGGCATAGAAGCAATCCTTTTATCCTCCAAAGACTGTATTAAATACTCTGTTCGCCAATAAAACGCAACTCATTCGCGGATTCTCACCACTTTTCAGCGCGTTCGCTCTGCTATCTCGAACTCAGAAAAAAACAGTAAAACTAATAAACTCATTTTTAATTTCACACAGAATATCTGATTAGTATCTAAAAATAAATTAAAATACAATTAGCCCTTAATTTTGTATTTAGAGACTTGTGATTTTAATCTAATTTTATACAATTCGTATATTAGTCATTATATAATATACTATTTTAAACAAATATGCATTACAAATTATTCATAAAAATTATCATATTAATATTATAAATATTATAATCCAAAATATTATTATAATATCATGTTTACCTACCACTTTCAATAAAACAACTATCAAGCATAGATGGTATTGGTGTAATTTTTGAATGCCCTAAAACAACTTTAGATGTGTTTTCATTTTTAACTAATACTAAAGATGTTGGCAAAGTATCACAAGATGCTTCCAAACTATGTAACCTATAACAAATATTAATACTTTTATTACAACTAACCAACAATATGCAATTAAACAACAAATAATCAAAAATATTTAAAATAATTATTATTGTTCTATAAATACTTTATTGGCTTGCTGTATTATAAAAAATAATAGCATTACAAATATGGTTGCTTTGTTATTAAACATTATTTAAACTATTAAAAATTTAAAACAATTATCCATAATATAGATTATACCAAATTCCTAAAAATTGTATAGATTATAGACAGTGTTGTACATAGATAACCAAAATATTATCTAGATAATATAATGGATAATACATTAAAATTTCATCTAGATAAGATAATAGATAACTATTTAAAAATGTATCTGAATAATAGATAAAGATAACTTTATTTATCTAAATAAAAGACAGATAAAACTATATAAAAAAATAAATTTAAACAGTTTCATCATTCAGAACTTACATTTGTAAAATGGTTATTTTTTATGAATAAAAAAAATAATTATTAATCATGATTAAATTGGCTTAAAATAATCTTAATTAATTTTGTTAATTTAGACAGAAAACAGTACATAAACCTATTTTTATTTTCCATTGCCCAAATATTTTAAGCATACATATTCTAAGATATTATAAATAAACTATTTTTATTTCTTTTTATTTTATGTTATTAATCAGTTTACAGATCAAATCAATTCATTATAATTTAAATAATGTATAATTAAAAATGTTTTATGATTTTTATGATTTAAAATATACCTACCTAGGTATTTATAGGATAGAAAAATACATAATACTTTCTATAGATGTATGTAACTCTACTTTACTATCTTGTAATATTCAAATTTAATCTAATGGTCATCAATGATAATTCATCACTTTATCTTCGATTTATAGGCAGTTAAATGCAAATAAATATATAATATATAAATATATAAATAATACAATATTTTACAAATTAATTTTATTGGATTTAATCCACAACATTTCAAATGCAGGGCCGGATTAAGCACGGAACCTAGAAGCCCCAAAGAGGCCTTCTATCATAAGCCTAGTTCAAAATCTTTTAAGTTAAAATTTTATTTTAATTATATATTTTTTTAATTTTCGTAATTGTATTATTTGTATCTATAATTGAGATCTCTACTAAAAGAAATAAATACAAATGAAAATATTATGAAGTTCAAAAAAGGGAAGAGAAAATAAGAGAACAAAGTTAGTTTTAAAATATTATAATTATATTTTTACATTTCAAGAATGATATTGTATATTTGCATGTAACGAAAATTGACAAATATTAAAAATTGTTAAATATTTCTGTATAATCAATTACTTTGTATCATTTTTTTAAAGAAATAAAATTCACTTATCGGTAATAAATATTATGAAGATTAAGGGCCTTTTGGACTACTAGGCTCCAGACCCGATAAACTCTTAATCCAGTCCTGTTCAAATGTTTTGTCACCTAAACGGTTCCTTTTTGGTGTTAATATTTGACTTCCGCTCAGTGTTTATTTCAGATCTTTTATTCAGGGGGGGGGGTGTCGTAAATTTTCAAGGAGGTATGCCTTAGAAGTAAATAATTAAGGGAAGTAAAAATATCGTTTTAAGCTTAATTTATTGGTATCAGATTGATACTTAAGAATACATAAGTTATTAATAATCTAATTTTGATTAATTATATGAAAAAAAAAATGCAGTTTGACGTAGTCGTAAATGCGTAATCCACTACACTGATAATCAACTGACAACAGCATGTTTTAAAAATTACCCACATGTGACACAGATATCTATATTATACTAGATAACGAACTACTGATGTTTTCCATTGAGAGAAGTGAAGCCCGGGGACGCAAGATTATCATACGTTCGCCATGTTTTCGGTTGGCAAAACAATATTACTTTATAGTTGAACACACTAAATTATTAAATTAAACATTTTTCATTACGTTTAATCAAAATTAAATTTCATTACAGAATTGAGAATATTAATTTAAAATTGCACTGTTAATTATTTATATAATGTATATAATATATATTGATTATATTATACTCGTAATCAATGAGTATACAATAAATAAAATGACTTATTTAAATACACAAAACCAAATCACTATACTTACTATATTTAGTTTTAACTATTATATATATATATATATTAATTAAAATACATAAAATACATTTTTATGTACTGATACTGTAGTAGGGTTTGTTTTCCAAGTTTGGTTACTAACCTTAGCACAATTGATTGAAAAGCCTGAATTGGCCTGATGTTCGAGGGATTTGCTGGACCCCAGATTGCTATTCCATAAGACCAGACTGGTCTTATGATTGACTTATATATCTCAGACATCCCCTCCCTCCCCCGTATGTACGCCACTGACCGTTCGTATTTACCAATAACTAATGAGTGATTACCTTATTGCTATTCTCAGTATTCACTAACACGATTTAAGATCTATATACACTAATACTAGATAACCGTGGCCACTATTCAGTGGTTACTGGTAGCCTTTATTATTATTTATTACTTTAATCTAAGTTTATACAATGTTTTTTATGAAACGTTCCAGTTAAAGATTGACGTTTTATGTCCATGTGTTCACACAATTATTGTCTATATTATTATTATATGAGTATAATATTAGCTATTGGGTATACGTATATTAAATTCCCGGCATTAGGCAGCGGGTATCGTCCAGTCGTCGATTATACAGAAAAAAAAGTTAATCGTTATAAAACTGAATGGTATTATTTAAAATACGTTCATTTTTATATGTTTTCTGTATAAATAAATATACAATTCATTTTCTTTGTTTATAGAATATGTATATTTAAAATTTAAAACGTACATACGGTAATACTAAGTGTTTATGATTTCTCGTTTCACTTCCCACATAAAAAAATTATCTTTTTCAAAATTATCTAGATAATTTATCTTAGATAACCATTTTATTTAAAAATATGGATAAAAAGATACTTCAAATTACTACTGTCTAGATAATATAAAAAGATCAATGATTTTAACTAGATAAATCGTCTAGATAATGCACAACACTTATTATAGAACATACTAAATCATATTTAGAAATTTGGTAATTTAATAAAATATTTACTATTTGTGCTCTAATTTTAAACCAAAATAATTAAATTGCTATATGAAGATCTTGATCAATTACTAAAATATATTATTCATTTTTTAGTATTATTCAGAATCTTAAATACTTTATACTACCTGGCAGTTTCACTACGTGGCCATTCAGAATTAATTACAGCACAACATACTTTAAGAAAATTTTTATTCCGGTGTAATGGAAGTACTTCAAAATCGTCCATATTACTATAGGTTAAATTTATATTACCACTATATTATGAATATAAATATATCTGTAAATCAAAAATGATTGAAGATTTAACATAAATAATAGACATGAAAGTTTATTTAGTTAAGAGGTAAATTATTTGGGAATTTGAATGTTTGAATTATAATTATAATTAAATATACAAAAAGTAAGAAATATTACTTATATAATTCTATAGCTTTTAGTTATACTTATTGTAAAAAAGTAATTAATTTTATTTTGTTCCATGTAAACATTATAAACAAGGCCCGGGACTTTATGCACTAAAAAATACTAAAATATGCGTTAAAAAACATCAGAATATGCAGTATAATATACGGTAAAAAAATGGAAAATAATTGAAGTATAATAAATATATTCAAGTTTAATTATCTTGATAAATAATTGTTAATTTTTATGTTTAAATATTTTTAATTAATCAATTGATAAAACTCCTTGATTATGTCCTTAATTTTTACATTGTATAAAGGTAAATATAAAATGAGCTACAGGACTGACGGGACTTTTGAGTCCATACAGTAGATGACCGACGGGACCTAAAAGTCTCAAGAATAAACAAGAATTATGGACCAAAAAAACATATATAAAAAACATTTGATATTATTTAAAAGTTGCTTAAAAATTGATTTATAAAAAGAAACTTCACTTTTTTATGTATTTCAAGCTTTGGTCATGAAAGGGTTAAAAAATAATAAACTAATTACTGACTAGTGTACACTGTACAATGAAGTCGCTTATATACAGAAGTATGCAGTATTATAACGAACAGAAATAATATTGTGTATAAGTTGATAACCTAATGGTTAAACATAATTGTTTACGAATTACCTATGGTTACGCAATTTATGTCATGTAACAAAATATTAATACAGTGGTAAATTTATATAAAAATAAATACGGGACGGTGGTGGTCAATGTTACGAGTTCTTGGTACTAAAAAGATTATAATATTATTATTAAGTGCATTGGGAGCCAAAGAAATACAAATAATAGCCGTTGATGAATTAATTTATTTTGTCAAACGATATAAAACTTAGAACTTTGGTTGTCACATTATGATATTTTATTATTAAACTATAAATTTTTTTAAAAAAATTTGTTAAATCCATGAAATTTGCGTATAAATGTTCTTAAACTCAAAATATGTGAATTGATACAAAAAATAACAAAATATGCAAAATTATGTAACAAAAATGTTTATATCTGAAATATATATACTATGAATCGAATTTATCTCGATTCAGAATTTCAATATGCACTTTATAGACAAATATACAAATGCCTAAAGTTCCGAGCCTTGATTATAAGTATGAAATATTTCCATTAAAATACAAATATGTCAGCATAAAATCACTAGGTATTAAATCAAAAGTTATTGATTTTGAAGAAATCAAATTGGAAGTAAGAACATGGAACATTTTATGAAATTAAACAAAAAAAATATTAGAAGTTCGTCTGATATGTATTCTAAACTTAAATATAAAACTAATAATATAAATAATACACTAAAAATATAGGGTATTTATCATTTAAAGTTTTATTACTGACAATATTTTGGGGAAAAAAATTAATACAAATAAATAACAAAAGATAAAATAAATAGGTTAGACAATTAATTAATTATTATTATACTGTAAAATTAAGCATATTTTAGAACCAAGCTAAATCTACTATGTGAATGTAATCAAAAATAGATTGGGCTAAATTAGTTTTACCATTTATTTTATAATATATGTTATAAAATCAATGGTTAAATTAATAATGTATTATAATTTCTCTACGAAAAAACAGTAATCTTTTTGATAGTATGTATTCTTTAATTACACAGTATTATGGTATTTTGAACATAAGTTCGTCACTCGACACAGTGTCATATGAAGTTTAACAACGCCATCTATTTGGCCATAACATTAATATCTTAGCAGGTATTGATTATTTTAGTTACATTATTGGACGAATACCTAGAAACCTTATCAATATGTTATCATATAAAATAAACATCAGATGTAGATTAAGCACTATTTAGTCAAATTGAATTAACCATTACCTGAATGAAATAAAAGGTACTTAAAAATGAAACCAGATAATTCAGATAATAACCATATACACAATGAACTAAACAATGGATTGAAAACTCATATGTTTTGGATATTTGGTTATGGATCTTTGATGTGGAAAACCAATTTTCCATTCATCAAGAAATATCCTGGTTATATTAAAGGATACACAAGACGGTTTTATCAGTTTAGCCCAGATCATAGAGGAACCAATGACTTAGTAAGACATAAACATATTTATAAATTACTTTTACTATAAAAGTACTGTATGTAATAAAAAATCATTAATTTTAAAATTTATTTCAGCCTGGGAGAGTAGTAACCCTCTTACCATCAACTGATGAAGTGAGCTGAGAATCAACTTTATTTTATTATAATGTGCTTCATAATATGAACACTTAAATACTTAATCTAATGTTATTTTAGAATTGTGTATGGGGTATAGCATATGCAATCGACAGCCGAGATATAGATGATGTTTGTGCAGGGTTGGACTTACGTGAGCGTGCAGGTTATACCAAGAAAGTGATACAATTCCATACAAAAATAAATGATGATCAAATACCATCTGAAGTAACAGTGTATATAGCTGACGAAAACAATGAGTGGTATGCTGGTGAAGCATCTGTTCAACAAATAGCTTCCAGAATAGCAGCGTGTAGTGGAACTAGTGGACCAAATCCTGAATATGTGTATCGATTAGCAGCAGAAATGAGAAGAATAGCTCCAGGAGAAGATGATGGACATTTATTTGAACTTGAAACTCTCCTGCGAATTATAGAAAGTAGTTAATATAACATTTGATAGTATAAATCAGACATTTTGTTTATTATTTCTTATATAATCTGTATAATTTTTTAAAATAAACATAATAATATATTTTAATGTTAATAATAAAAATAAAAAATAAGTCAACAGTTTAAAATCAAAAGATGTGTTAGTAAATTTTAAGTTTTAGTAAGATTTATCAAAGGTGAAATTCATAAATATATAAATTCGACAATTTGATACATAAATGTTTAAAAAATATAATTCCATAAATTAATTAATACACTAAACATTAATTTACACATTTACTGTAAAATAACTAGTTATTACCAAGTGGGATTGCATGGATAAGAAAGGTGCTGAGTTAGCATCCCAAAAATCATTACTTCTAACAAGCATCTACCTGTTTATTAATGAACTATTATATAGGTGACTAGATTTTTTGTTCAATTAACGCTATATTAACCATATTGATAGATAAAATATTTTACTCAAGTATTACTAAATTTATAGCAGAATCCATCAAGAATAATATTACATTGTACTTATTAATTAAATAATTAATGTATTAAACGATTGTTACAAAAAAACTGTTTTATTTATTTAGTCGAAATACTGTTACATAATAGTATTATAATGCACTAACTTGAATTAAAATTGTAATATGAGACACTCTTAAGAGGTAGTCTTCACTCGTTTGAGCATAGGACATATACTTCCATCTACTCCATTGTGTTAGATTGTAATATTCATACTAATCTTAGATTAGTGTAGTAGAAATCAGCAAGGTTCTTTAAAATCATGAACGATCAAAATACCGCTCATTATCAAGGATCCTGAGGGACGGAAATTGATAAGAATTCTATCTATCATAACCGTTAATAGGTACAATATTGTTCTGTGGTACAACGTGACTATGGACATTTATTATCATGTAGTTTTTGACATACTATTGTGATAATAGCCAATGATCATACCAGCGATTAGATGTTGGACAAATCGAATGAGTAGACAAAGCTATTTCTTAACTTCAATATTTTCAAACAGTAAAATAATAATATTTATCCATGATTAATGATTCTAAAAAATAAAATTGAAGTTTCTATTAATAACTCATAAACCATTGCGGTACCTGTATTAATTTTGTTTGTTCATTGTCTAACAGCTATTACAATTATTAGAGCGTACTTAAAATATTTTCCCTATACTTTCTTGAAATGACTACCAATTTAATCGTCTTGGGTGAAAATGCTGCCAGAATCAATGTTAAAGTCAATCCTAATATGACTGTACTTAAAGCAAGTATTTTGAACCATACACTACTTACTATGTATTAATTTTAATGTTTTATTCTTAATTATTTTCTATTTAGGTATTAGAATTAGCCTGCACAAAACTAAAAGTAAACAGTGATGATTATGATTTAAAGTAAGCAATATATTTTTAACTCTGTTAAATTATGAGATATTTGATATTTCACTGATGTTTTTGTTTGCTAGATATCATAATAAAATATTAGACACAACTAATCTGATCAGATTTACCAATATTGCCAATAATGCCATGTTAGAATTAACTCCGGCTAAAAAATCTAGGCAAGATAGCCCTGTTGGTGTATGGTTACAAGTAGAAGATGGATCAAGATTGTCTGGTGAATTTCCATCAAGCCGTAAGTCTTCTGATGTTATAATTTATTTATAATACGTGTTATTTTATATTTGTAACTATATTACTTTTTTCTAGAAAATTTATGGGAAATTATACAGACATTGTTGAAAAATAATCTTTCCAATTATGATAGTCCAGCCATAATTTATACGAGAATGGAAATAATTGGAAAAGAGCAATTGCAACAAAAAACGTTAAAAGATATGGGATTATTCAGCGGAAAAGCTTTATTAAGGTTTTTTTAATTGAATTAATTAATTAATTTACAATATTTTTAAATTAAGTTTTACTAAATACAACACCTCTATAATTGTATGTTAAAAACTGTGAAGTTTCTTAATATTTATGTGTAATTTAGATTTTAGTACGCTTTCTTTTACTTAAGTATCTCGATTCAATCTCAAGTTGAGAAATGTAGTTTGTTTATTTATTTGCGAGTATTAAGTCATATTAAATTATGTTTTAATGTTTACCTTGATATAAGTCTATTGTTAGATCATTATTTTGAACAATGACAATTTAAATGAATCATTAATTAAAAAGTTAATGATAAATAATCTTAATTATATCCTAAACTTGACATTATGGTAATATTATTAGTTTAATAATTATTATTCATTATATTAATATAGTAATTATCTTATCACTGGAGATTTTGCTAAAATGTTCTAAATATTATACAGGATGTTACACATAATTCATTTTACTTGTTTGTTGTTGTGTATAAGACATATTCATGTATCAATTTGTGTATGGATGCTTATTCATAGACTCTTATTTTTATTTATATATCATCATAACATATTTACCATGTTAAATTAATTGTTGGTGTCATAGTACTTATTGTTTTATTAATTTATTTTTTTTGTTGATTTTAATTATTTGTATAACAAATTACCGTTCAATTTTTAGATTACTTAACAAAAAAGAATCAGAAGACCAAGCTCATGTGTATGTACCTGCAGTAAGAAAACTAAAAACTGAAGAAACTCCTATGGTATTAGGACATAGAGAAAACAAAATTGAAGAATCTTCAAGCATTGAACCAGAAAATTTAACCAAAGCAAGTGAATGTAGCATAAATAATCAAAAAATAGAGCTCATGGATATTGAATCTAATGTTGATGGCAAAAATATAAAAGATGACTCTGTAAATATGTTGGGTTTCTCAGAAAATATTGATAACAATACTAAAGTAACAGAGAGCAAAAAAAAACCTATTCTTACTGATGAAGATCTCAATAATTTCAAGAAATCAATATCATATGTTAGTATAATTTAGATACTTGAATAATTCTCTTACACTTATATTAGATTGTCTATTTTATAAGTAGAATAGTATATTCAATAGATTCAGTAATTTTACTTATTATTTTTAGTTAGATGACCGCGATACATTGTTATTTGACATTATGGATGGTACTTCAGTTTTGTATCAAGACGAAAGTGACGATTTTTTTGAACCAACTGTAAAAGATGTTACTCTTGTATTAAGAGATTTGAAAAATGCACGGTAAATTATTTTTAAATTTGCTTAAAACTTACATTATTCATGAAACAGTAGAATACATGTTTATTAATAAGTTTGATATTTAGTATAACAATATTTAAAATCTTATTTTCTGTTTAGAGTAATACTATTATACTAATATTATTTACTAGTTTCTTTAAATCAAAATAGATTTTAGGTAATTATAAATGAATTTTAATTGGCCAAGAAATCCAGAATGTCTTTCTTTGCCTTTAGGTACAAGTTATTGGTGTGACTGTACTTCTTATCTAAAAATTATACAATAAATATTAAATACTAACCACCTAAGTGGTGAACATAAACAATTTTGATAGTTGCAAATGATTTGTATGATTCAAAATCATTTTAAATAACTAAAAGTTTTATGAAATGTTAGTAGTTACCAATAATAATACAACTGGTTATAACTACTTATACCATTATACAACTACTACAGTTTTTTTACAGTTTCAAATCATTTTATTCTTATCATCTTATTGCATATTATTATTATGAAATCAAAAATTTACTGCATATCTATAGTTAAACATTCATACTTATATAATGAACTTTAAATCAACTTACTTATTTGATAAGTATCAAATGCTATCTTTAAGTTTTGTTGTTTATTATTAATAGTATTTCAAATTTTTGATTAGATCTCAGTATGAAGACGGCCAACTGTGTACAAGTGCCATGCGAATAATTGAGAAGACTAATAATCAACTAAAATTATTACAAAAATACAATAAGTGTATTATTAGAATACACTTTCCAAGTAGATTAGTGTTACAATCTGTTTTTAAAACAACTGAAACGGTATTGGACGTAATTAATTTTATTCGAAAATATCTTGTGGATGAATCATTGGAATTTTGTTTGTGTAAGAGTTTAGTTATCAACTTAAATATATTTTTTATTTTATTTAATATTATAATAATTTCTTTTAATAGTTACTACACCTCCTAAAACTATTTTGAAACCGGAAGACAGTTTATTGGAGTGTGAATGTGTGCCATCTGCTATGATACATTTTTCATGTTGTACAGAAATTGATCATTTAAAACCCGAACTCAGGCAAAAAATTGTGTCAGGATGTCAAGCTTCAATAGCTGCATATCTCGTTAGGTAAGCTAATGTTACTAGTAAAATTATTAAAAGTACAAATAAGAGAAATATAATTATTAAAAATTATAGGTACACTGGGTATTATTATTTTATTCTAAGATTTTCATATTTTAATATTCATTATGTACAATATATACAACCAATTTTTGAAATATTAAATATTAGTAACCAATCTTAGTCATTACTATTTCTTATTGTAGTAAATATTTTTAATTCTTTAGAGTAGTTATTAGAAATTATTTCATATATTGAATAATAAAATAACTAAAACAACAAACTGCCTACAATTTTACTAATTTCCTGAAAATAAATAATCTGTTACAGAAAAGAAAGGACTTTGTTTATAAATGATTCTCCAAGTAATGAAAGTTTCCAGGATGCTCAACCAGGACCAAGTCAACAATTTGATAATCGGAATAATAGTAAAACAAATTTTTCTTCTAAACAAAATAATACATCAATTAATAAAAATAAGATGCCTAAATGGTTTAAACCATTGTGATGTTGGAATAAAATTATTCTTTATAAATTATTTTTATTTTTATCACAACATTACATTATATGTTGATGCATACATTGCTTCTATGTTGCATTATATTTATTTTTTTTTTTTTAATAAATTATATAACTATAATAAATTTAATTAAACTAAACAGTTTTTTGTTTAAAAATGTATGAATATTAAATAAAATAGTGTATAGTGAATAAGATGAGAGAAAATAGACTGAGATGGTTTGGGCATGTGATGAGATGAAAGGTAGTAAAAATTATTATGAAAATTAACATTGAATGGAAAAAAGGAAAAGGAAGACCAAAAAACAGATGATTGGATGTGATTGAAAATTTTATGAAGGCTGTTGGTGTGTGCATAGGGATTATAGAAAATCAAGACAAAGATGGCTGACCCCAAATAGTTGCGAGAAAGGTAAAGGAGAAGAAGAAGAATACTGAATAAAATTAATTCATAAGAAAAGAACAACAATTTGTTGAACATTTTATTTTATAAACACATTTTTAAAATAATTATTAATATAAGTGATCAGGTAAATATTAAGTTTATTTAAACATATATACATACATATTGGTGTTGGAATTGTATTCATTCAAAATTTTTATTTAGTAATGATAAATTCACTAAATGCCTCATTGTTGGTCTTCCGTGTGGACAATTCTAAAATTAATACATGTCTAATTATTTATTGGTAATAAATATCTGTTCTATAACTAAATGACTCACAAGTAGGCTTAGGGACTTATAGCCCCATAAAAACACAAATATGCTACTAAAATCATTATTATATGCATTTATATGCATAAAAAAAAAAAAAAAATGACCACATTGTACACAAAATAAAACGTGTCCATCAGATGTAAATGTATCTTTAAACTCCGAAACAAAACTTTTTAGTCGGCTACTCGTAGACTGTTGTATTTTCGGCATTACACAATGTTACAAAATATATGCGTACAACGTTTTAAGTATGATTCGACGTGGTGTGTTTACGAGACGCAAAAACAACGGATAATAATCGACTGAACTGAACACTAAACAAATAATCTATTATTCTATATCGACTATTATCTTATCGATATCCAGTTAATATCCAGCGGGTTATATGGTCGATACGGGTTTTTAGTATTATTTATACTTACATAAAAATTATAACAAGATATGAGAGGTAGTTTGTAGATAGCATATTACTGGAAGTACCTCTTAGGTACATTATTTTTTCGATCAATCAGTTGAAATATGTATATATGTTATTTGTATCTATAGTTTTTAATTTTAAATAATAAAATTTGAAAAATTTGTCAAAATATACAAAATAAGCATAATAATTTTAAAATATACACTCTCCTGCAAAAAAGTATGCAAATGCTAGATGTCCCTAAGCCTACTCATAAGGAATACATTTAGTTCCTTTAGCTTTAAAAAAAAGATACTGACAAAATGTGCAATGTATATAACTCTCTAGATATTATATAATATTTATGACAATTATTTTACCCAGGGTTGCTCAATGACACCCATGTGGTCAATAAGCTTTCTCATATCGTTCATATTTAAAACAGTACCAATCATTACTGATTTGCGACAAGCTCGAGACGCAAACATTGAACGGACTCTAGAAGGTCTACAAAGAGTATTTGGTGCATCCTATGTAAAATATAAAATAAATATTTAGTATTTATAAAAAGATCAGTAATTTTTTATTCAATTACTTGTAACATAAATAAAAGTTCATCTACATCTTCTTTACCAAATCTCCAATTATTACTCATAGGAATCATAGATAATTTAATTTTTTTTGTTGAATCCGCTAAAACATAAAATATATATAAAAAGTTTTTTGTGTAGATTAAAATGAATTACAATTTAAAATTCAACAAATAAACTCACCATCTTCTTGGATTTCAAAATCAAATCCATTCATTTGAAAAATATTTATATTATCCTTTAATATAATTTCATTAACTGCAGTTAATTCTAAACTTTGAGGTCTAAAAATATAAATGTATAATTTTATTATTATTATTATTGTTATTATTATTTTTTTTTACTTACACAACTAGTTTTTGACTAATAATTTTTGTAGTTTTTTGTAATGTTTCAAAATTGTATTTTTCATCGGTAGCATGTTGATCAACTATAAATAAATCAGCATCAAGTTTAGTAATAATAAAACCCAAATTAAATTGTCCAACTATACTCATCTGTAATGGAATGTCAAACATATAAAATACATAAGTACTGATACAAGATATGGATATAAACTACTAGCATTAAATGTCCATTAAATGCCCGTCAAACCATTAAATCAAATAATTTACAATTGAAGCTTACAATATGATACATGCACTTTTCACATCACAAAATATTCAGAAATTGTAACAGTAGTAAGCCATGTTAAAATATTTTTAAGGAAAGTGTAAATTGTAATTATTAAAGTGTAAGAGCTTTTTTATCAAAAATGGTTGATATGGTATTTTAGTTTTGTAAGTTTTCTAACTAGGGCAGTATACCACATTTCAGTATGTATACCATAGGTATGCCAACTCTATTGTATTATTAAGTAATTATAATATTTAATTTAAATTATATAAGATTAAGACAGAGTGAACAATAGTTTCTTAACTTGTTAATAACAATATGACATTAAATGCGTTTTAATTTCATTAAAATTCAACTCTTAAAAGTTAAAATTATAAATTTTATTAAAAATGTGTAATATAATTATATTATATATTGTTATATTATTACATTGTTGTATAATTTTAACTAATTTCTCAAAATAAGATTTATATTATAGTAAGTTCTATAATTGTTTAATATTTTCAAATTTTTTTTTTTTTTTTTAATTAGAAAATAATCTAAGTAATCTAAGATTGCTAATTTTACTTTTCACACTAACTTACTCGAGCAAACATATCTTTAGTAATTTCTCTGCATAATTCACTCTCAGCCTGTTGATTTTTACTTGGATCAATTGTTGCATAAAAACGTGTCTTAATTTTTTGTTTTTCAGATACTCTAGTAGTTAAGTTTTTCAACCTTTGTCTAATTTGTTCAATGTTAATATCAACTACAGCACATTTTCTAACTTTGGGTGCTATAGAAGAGTCTATTTCTATGCTAATATCAGTTTCTATTTTTATTAAATTATTATCAGTATCTTGATTATATAAATATTCATCTTTACTATTCATGTTTATTTCATTTTTCAAATGAAGATAGTTTTCCTCTTTGTCTGATTTTTCAGCTACATTTTCCAACAGTTTGTATTCTTTAGTATTTTTATCATTTGGGTTAATTGGACACATTTTGGTTACTTCATTATTTTTACAGTTTGATGTATCCATGAATGTTTCTATTTTTTCATCATCTTCTTCTTGTTTCAATTCAACAGTTTTTTCTGCTTCATCAATATCTTTAATATTTTCAATAAATTCAAATGAACTACCGTCCATTTGAGTTTCATTAAACTCTTCAGTACTATTTTTTTTATGATTATCATTAAGTTCAATTTTTTCTGTTAAAAATTGGTCTATTGTATTTTTAGCATCTACTTTAGAATAAGATTTCCATCTATTAAGCTTAGCTCTAATTTCTTCTGAATGGCTTTTAGAGGTTTTTATATTTTCATCATTTGTGTCCAATTTTAATTCTGAAATTATTTGTAATTATAAGCAAAAAAAATATGATTGTTAATTAAGTTGCTAAAATGGTTTTTTTCTTACGTTTAAAATTAGTGTTTTCTGCGTTTGATTCATAAGATCTTTTGATTGATATTGAATCATGCAATAATGTATTCATCTTATAAGTAGATGGAATATTTTCATACAATTTATTCATACTAGCCTTAAAATGGAACAACATATACATATTTATTAACATTTAACATGAATTAATAAAATAAGTTAATATTAATTTCCCACTTTAATCATTGAGACCAAGTAATTTTCATTAGAAAGAAATATTTGTCTTTTATCAGGTGTAACATTGATGTCTACTTCATCTCTTGCAATTGTTATATTTAAGTAAACAAAAGGATATTGATTTTGATTGTATTGGTGATAAACTTCATTAACTGCTTTAATAACCTAGTAATAAGACAAATACAAGTAATATTAAATCACTTGACTATTAAATCTTGAAAAAAATTATGTTAATAATAAATAAAATTAAATTAATTATGTTTTTAATGTAGTGTTACCTGTTAATGTAATAAATATAGAAAAATCAAGTAACATTCATTTATTTTTATTAGCTTATTTTTAATGGGTTTACAAAAAACTTAATTTAACAGAATATTTTTAAAATGTACACATAGTGTAACAAAAAATTATAAAATTAGCTAAAACATGTAAAACAAAATAAACTGTAAAAATGTTTTTATAAAGTATTGAAATCATTAAATATACATCATAGAATAAACAGTGAATACTATAAATTTAAATTTTGTTGTTTAAAATTTATAATATTTGATTACCTTTAAAGGTTCACATGGCCTTGAATTTATAAAATAAAATTGTCTATCTTTAGAACTTCTGCCACTACTGTGATCACAGCTAGATACATAACCATCCACCTCAAAAATATTTACTGCATCATTTTGTTCATCTTCAAGAACAACTTTCTTTAAAACTAATAAACTGTTAGCCTAGAAATTAGTATATTAATAAATAAAGGAAAATTGAAAATTTCATTATTATTATAACTTGCCTGTTTAGGACCATAAATACATGATATATTTTCTAATACCGTGTTGCTACCATGAGTAGAGAGAATAATATTATTGCTGGATTTAATTTGATTGATACATGAAATTCTACAAATATTAAAATGTTTTTTTACTATCTACATAATTGAAAGTTTAAAAATATTAATTTACTTCACTTGAGTAGAAACTAAACAATAACCAGTTACCACTTGAATCATTTTTCCAAATTCCTTTTTTAAATTCCTATGAAATTCTTTATGCCTCACGGGTAATGAGTAGAATAAATTAGATAAAGAAACAGCAGTTCCAACCTAATAACAATTAATTTCATTTCAAAATAAATTATTTTTTTTTTATTATATAAACCACATATATTTAATGTTTTTACAAAGAAAATCCAATAAATACATACTTGTTTAGCAATAGGAATTTTTAAATTAATGTTTCCTGTGTGATCAAATACCAGCTTAGTGCCACAAGCCTGTGATGAATGTCTTGTAGTCACTGTCACATCACTTAGAGCACATAATGAACTTAATGCTTCTCCACGGAAACCAAATGTTTCTACAGAAGTCAAGTCGGCAAAATCTTGAATTTTAGATGTATGATGTTTTAAAGCTACAAATATAAATGAATAAATGATAAATATTGTATTTTAATCAATCATTACTTAAAAAATCAAACCAAGGCCTTCAAAATTATCAGGATGAACTCCAGCTCCATTATCTGTTACTTCAATCAAATCTTTTCCAAATTCTTTCAGTTTTATCCCAATTGATGTAGCTCCAGCATCCAAACTATTTTCTATTAATTCTTTTACAGCTGTAGCCAAGCTTAACACAACCTTAAATTATAGATAATACACATAGTATGTTTAAAATCATGTATTGGTTAGAAACTATAATTTATAATATACTTTAAGATCAACAATGTTACCAAAAACACAAAATATAATAAATCTTCAATATTATTGATGATAAATTACTAATTTACCTGACCAGAACATATTTTATGTACGTCTAATTTGTTTATTGGTTTAATTTGGTTAGACATCTAAAATACTACCACCTACTGGGATATAATAATTATAAAAATTAAATACAGTAGGATTACAGCCTTACACTGTGGCCAAAAAAAGTTTCGAGTTATTTATTGAATAAAAATAAATTTCTTAAACCAACAGCATAAAAACATTAACAATAAAAACTATTTGTAGACAAATTACAAATTTCAATAAAATAATTCAAAAACGGCCGGTTATTGATATCAATGCTCTTGTTATTATTGTTTATGTTGTTGTATGATAATAGTAAAAAACCGTGGTCAGATGATAATCATCACGGCTGTGATAATAACACTTGTAACCACGGCTGTGTGTAAACCATAATTTTAAAACATAATTGTAACCGATAATTAGACCGATAATGTGAGTGTAATAACATCTTGGACACCTCTTAATTTAACCGTTATTACGTCAATATACGAGCTATATTATTAATTAATTAATATATTATATTTCACTCTAAGCTTTAGCGCCTTTTGAAATACTGGATAGATCATCAAAAGTAATAAGGTTTTATCTAAAACACATGTAGAACTCACAATTGTTCTTATAGAAATTCAATGTTCACTAGTAGATGGAAATAGTAGATTATAGTATATTCCAACTTCATGTTATATTCTAAATTATAGAATGATCCAATCAAATTATTTAGTCACCAAGTTCATTAGCTGAGAATTTGAGTATAATGGGTACATTTCCACCTAAAACTTGACCATATCAGAATTTATATTGCTGAATATTTTTAAACTGTGATATTAAAGATTTTTTTTTTGAAATATCACTGAAATTTTCATCAACATTAAAATGTAATATTAATATTTAGTTGAAAATTCTATGAAAAGTAATTGCAAATATAAACAAGGTTTATCTTAGATCTTAAACCTAGATCTCTAGTCTTAGACCCACAAATAACGTGATGTGTGTCGTAGCAAACGTACGACAACAAAATTTTATATGATGTGACACCAACACCTAGGTGCCTATATGTATAATGTCAATGTGATATGGCATTGGTAAATTTAATTGATATTAATTACACAAATAATTGAATAATGCGGTTTTGAGTTTATAAATACTGAAAAAAAGAATCAAAAAAATTAAACATGATGTTTTTGATACATCAAAAGAATTTCTTGCTTATCCAAAGCAATTCCAATAAATTTATAGAATAAAGTAGTTTTTTTAAAATAATATTTATGTACAAAATGTCTACTGAATGGAATTTTATTATAGGCGTTATTACTCAAAAAAAATCTTTTTCCAAGAATAAGCGATTACATTTTTGTTGCAGTAGTCCTAAATATTAATTATAAATATATGGATTGGCTTTAATTATACCAATAAAGAGCATATTAATTTTTTTTAAATTAGTATATTTAATCTTTCAAAAATGAAAAATCATTTTCAAAGATTTTATCACTTATTAAATCTATTTCTTGATTTGATTTTCATAACTTAAGACTATGAAATGTAATCAATAAATATTAAAATATTTAAAAATATTGGTTACTATGAGTACACCAATTCATTATTAACATAATTAATATATTCTATGTTATTATTACCAGGCATTTAATAGACAATTTAAATAAATTGGAACAGAATCTTAATTTACTCTTATAACACTTTAAACTACTTAATTATCAAAATAGTCTTTAATCAAAAAGCTTCAATCTACAAATAAAAACACACAAATGGTAATTAATATAAATTTAAACTTTATTAGTTTAAAAGTATTAAAATGTTTTCATAAAAGGAACAAAATTACTTATTTGAGAATAAATTATTAGATTATAATAGAGGAAAAAAATATAACTCTAGTGTAATATTTATACAATACCAGAAAAATATGACTGGGTTCTAGAAAATACAGTAAAATTAATCTAATATTATAATAACTAATATAATTAATTTTAAATCCTTAAAATACATTAAGAAAAAAAGAAAATACGTAAGAATTATTGATTGACTTCCATACTTTCACAGTTATCTTTATCCTTGTTTGAAGACTGTTTGATACTTGGTTGGTTTGTTTGAACAATTTGAATCGGTCTTTCTCCAGCACTTTTTTCAGGTATCTACATTTATAAAAATATAAGTATCATTTTAATTTTTAATATCTTATATTAAGATTGATTAAAAAATATCAATAACAATATATTAGTACCTTTTTTGGAGCTCCAATACTCAACACACCATCTGAGGATAATGTAGACTTAATAGAATTCATATCAACGTTATCTGGTACCTTGTATCTCCTGGTAAACTGACGTGAAATGTAACCGTGTTCATCACTACGTTCCTCGTGTTTTCCTTCAACCACTACATAGCCATCAGCAACTTTTACAGAGACTTCTTCAGGCTTGAACTGCTGAACATCCAAATTCACCTTGAAGTTGTTTTTGTCATTTTGGATGCATGATAATCCACTCTCTGCAGCAGAATTTAAGCGATGTGGTCTTAGGTAAGACTTCAACAAAATTGGACAACGAGTTGGACTATATTGACGTGATGCTAGAAGTAAATCATCATCCAGTAAACCAAGACCGAAGTGTTGATCGTATATAGTTGGCCGAGCCAATTCATCCAACAAAAATGGCAACATAGACATCTAAAACAAAGGAATACATTAATATATTGTTATTTATAGGTGTGACATTCAAAACAGTTATATATAAATTTTAAGGGAAAACTATAAAATATTATTATGTATATTAGACCAACACTCATACTGAGAAATGAAAAAATATGCGAGGGTATGAAAATAAAATTATACTAATCCATAATTATTATCTAATCACCATAATCGATTCCAAAAATATAATTAAATCAAAATTCCATAAACGTTATACACAGATATTAACATGTAAGAATACACTGAAAAAAGTTAAATTACAAACGAGAGTTTTAAAGCTTACCTTGTATATTATAGTCAATGGATAATACAAGAAAACAGAAGAATCGTACAAGACAACTCGCAGAGATGAGAGCAGAATATAAACAGACAATATATAAACGGACTTGATATACAATGGCGTAAACACTCAGCTGATGCGATAAGACTGAAGCGACCGTTGGCGAACGCAGCGCTTTTATTGGACATAGAAAATTCGAGAACACCAAGAGTTGAAAACATGGACGATTCTAGAACATTCTCGATACGCATTTCCTTCTATACAATACAATGACTTTATTTTTATTTATTTATTTATTTTTTCATTTTATTTTTTATTGAACAATGTATTGTACAACTGTACAATTAAGCATAGAAGCTTCCTTTGAATACCAGAAAGATATAATTTTAATAAAGGTCTCAACAGTATATTAGTATATTAGTCTAATATAATGTCTATACATTTTTGTTCAAGTGCATACAAATATTTAATAACCCGTGTATTGAGTACATTGAAATAAAATACGCTTGTAAAAACACCTGAATATAGTCAACCAACTAGGAATATTAGTATTCAAAGCTATAAACTTATGCGGATCTTGGGAATCGAACTGATACTTATAATTGTTACCTACTATAGTTAGTGCCAGATCTAATTCTCATGATGTCGGGTTGTAAATACCGATTGGAAGCCCTTAAAAAAAAATGTGCTCAATATACTTATATAATATATAATACACATATTATGTGCCTGCAATTAATTTAATTTAATACAATGACATAACATCGGAACACGAAAAATAAAAATTAAAAACAACAAAACATATACACATTACGATGAGCACAATCAATAAAAATAAAAAACTTACAAATTATATCACACAACCAAAATTACTATTATGGTTTGGGTAGTCTAAATGGGTAAATTTTTCGCAGATTTCAGTCTACGAGTTACAACCGGGTTTTGTGTTATTTTTTGGTTTAGGTTGACGAGTTTGCTACTTAAATATTTATGATAAAAACTTAAGATTAAATTAATTCAATGAAAAAATAAAATGTTATTTACTGATAGTACTTGTCAATTTTTGTTAGACTTTAAAAAGTAAAGACAACAGTGAAGGGCAGTATTCATAATAATGAAAAATAATAAAAATCACAAAAAAAAAAAGTAACAACTATTACAATATATACCAAAATTACACCATAAATAATGCGTCATTGAAAATATCCAACCATAGGCGTAATTCGGAAATTTATTAGGGGGGGGGGGAATATAATTACATATCTAACAGAAAAGGTGTCCGAGGCTAAATACCACTTTACTATCTACATATTATTAAATAAAATTATTCATTTTCTAACATTGTGTTAGATAAGCGAAAATTTAAGATTTGAAAAAAAAAAATGTTATAGTTATAGCTATAACCAGCTGTTTTATTATTAAAACTTATTATAAAACAAGGTATGTTAAATACCAGAAGGGGCACTACCCCTCCTATTTTTTCTAGGGGGGGGCAATTGCCCCCCCAGTTTACGCCTATGTATCTAACAACATATTGTTGACTACTGAATAATGACTATTCAGAATAGAATTTTCAAGTATTAACATTTAACGCTATCATAATATGATGTATAATATAATATTTAATACGATTATATTATGTACAGTAACGAATAAATATTAAATAAAAATACACATTTCCAATTTTTTTTAGCCGAAAATAAAGTATAAATTTAAATCAAGGGAATACCCAAGGGGGGGTTCGGGTCCGGCCCCTTTCCCATTGAAATTTCTACATACTCAACAGTTTAATAGTAAATAGTATAATTATAATATAATACATATAATTATCTTCAATATACAAAGTTTTTAGATTATATAATATAGCTGTAATGTATAAACCATACTATAGTATATTAACAGTAATTTGTTGATATTGAGTTAAACTATAATTATAATTTAACTCAATAAAATTTAACTATAATTATAATTAGAGAACAAAATGTTGGTTCCCCCCATAAAATATTCTTGGGTACGCTCCTGATTTGAACTATAAATATAAAATAAATCAAAAAATTATTCAATAAATAATTCAAAAATTAAATTGGATACAGTAATTTAATCTCGATGTGTGTTATGTCCTTAGATAGTGATTTAGGGTACTTATTTTCGAATAGTCTTGGTATCTACATGGTTACAATGTGTAAAAAACATTTTTAAACACTGCAACTAAATGAAAAATATTATACAACTGAATTACGTAGAAAAATAAAATCTACCAATATTAATAATTGTTGAATATTTAAAATTTACAAAAAGTTATGGAAATAAATGGGAATTTATTACAAAAACAGTTCAGGAAAAAATTTCAAAAATTATTTTGATTGCAAAACAAGCTAATAAAACTTAATGTTTTATTCATTAATTTTGTACTGTTGAAACAATTTCAAAAACAAACAATGATTACTGTTGTTCAAATAGAAAAATATGAAAACGGTAACTTCAAGAAAAATAAAATGTTCACATCAATTATTTATAACGAACATAATCGAGAAACGCGCGAATGTTCTAGAACGTTGTAAATACGTTGTAACGGTGAAATAGGGTGGATACTACGCCGCGGATTTTCTAGAACATTCTCTCGGTTATAAATACGCGGACGGCGCACCGCCCGGCAACAGTTGTATCACGAGTGCGATTGAATACAGCGCTATACGTGTATCTCATAGAGACTCTACCATACGATTATTTACAGTGCGATACATTATAAAGCGATTATATTTGTGCTTTATCTCTAAAAGTTTTGTGAAGTGTTTTGTTTATTAATTTTTTATTCTCTCCCCATTTGTGCGCGTATTTCTGAGAAACACGAACAATGGTCGGTAAAACGGCAATCGGTATCGATCTCGGCACCACGTACTCTTGCGTGGGTATCTGGCAACACGGCAAAGTGGAGATTATCGCCAACGATCAAGGTAACAGGACCACGCCGAGTTATGTGGCGTTTACCGACACCGAGCGGCTGATCGGCGACGGAGCCAAGAACCAGGTAGCGATGAACCCCAAGAACACGGTGTTTGACGCTAAACGGTTGATCGGCCGTCGTTTCGACGACGAGAAAACGCAAGCGGACATGAAACACTGGCCGTTCAAAGTGGTGAACGACTGCGGTAAGCCAAAAGTGCAAGTGGAGTTCAAAGGCGAGAACAAAGTGTTCGCCCCGGAAGAGATCAGTTCTATGGTGTTGACGAAAATGAAGGAGACGGCCGAAGCGTTCTTGGGACGGACCGTGACGGACGCGGTGATCACGGTTCCGGCGTATTTCAACGATTCACAGAGACAAGCGACCAAGGACGCGGGCGCGATAGCCGGACTGAACGTGATGAGGATAATCAACGAGCCGACGGCGGCGGCATTGGCGTACGGTCTGGACAAAAACCTTAAAGGGGAGAGGAACGTGTTGATATTCGACCTTGGTGGCGGCACGTTCGACGTGTCCGTGCTGCAGATAGACGAGGGTTCGATATTCGAAGTGAAGTCCACGGCTGGAGACACGCATTTGGGCGGCGAGGATTTCGACAACCGGCTGGTGTCGCATCTGGCCGAGGAGTTCAAAAGGAAGTTCAAGAAGGACGTGCGTGGCAACCCTAGAGCGCTGCGACGGTTAAGGACCGCCGCGGAACGGGCCAAGAGAACGTTGTCATCCAGCTCGGAGGCCACTATAGAGATCGACGCCCTAATGGAAGGTATCGATTTCTACACCAGGGTGTCCCGGGCACGTTTTGAAGAGCTGTGCGCGGACCTGTTCAGATCGACCCTGCAGCCGGTGGAGAAAGCGTTGGCTGACGCCAAGTTGGACAAGGGTTCCGTACACGACGTGGTGCTCGTGGGCGGCTCCACGAGGATTCCGAAGATCCAGAGTCTCTTACAAAACTACTTCTGCGGCAAACCGCTAAACCTGTCCATCAACCCCGACGAAGCGGTCGCTTACGGTGCTGCCGTGCAGGCTGCCATTCTGAGTGGTGACACAAGCTCTGCCATCCAAGACGTGTTACTCGTGGACGTGACCCCTTTGTCGCTGGGCATCGAGACCGCGGGTGGTGTGATGACCAAGATCGTCGAGCGCAACTCGACAATTCCGTGCAAACAAACGCAAACATTTACCACGTACGCGGACAACCAGCCAGCCGTCACCATTCAGGTGTTCGAGGGAGAACGGGCCATGACCAAGGACAACAATCTGCTGGGAACGTTCGATCTGACCGGCATTCCTCCGGCCCCGAGAGGTGTACCTAAGATCGATGTGACTTTTGATCTGGATGCCAACGGTATATTGAACGTATCGGCGAAAGACAACAGTTCTGGTCGGTCCAAGAACATCGTCATCAAGAACGATAAGGGCCGTTTGTCCCAAGCCGAAATCGACCGAATGCTCAGCGAAGCGGAACGGTACAGAGAAGAGGACGAACGGCAGAAGGAGAAGATTGCGGCCAAGAACCAGTTGGAAAGCTACGTGTTCAATGTGAAACAAGCGTTGGACGATGCTGGCGATAAGTTGACCGAATCCGAGAAGAATACCTGTAAACAAGAATGCGATGCAGTTGTCCAATGGTTGGACAACAATCAGTTGGCCGACAAAGAAGAGTTCGAGTTCAAACTGAAAGAAATCCAAAAGAGCTGCTCGGGTCTTATGATGAAGTTACATGGCGGACAAGCGGGAGGACATCAAATGCCTGCTGGTGGCGCCGCAGGAGCACATTCCCGTGGCCCTACTGTCGAAGAAGTTGATTAAGTTAATATAATATATCTTGCTGTATATACTTGTAAGTAACTTTTTTCCTATTTTGTTCGTATTTGACTGTTTATTTGTTATGTAAATATTTGTAAGAAATATTTTAACTAATTGTAATTAAGGTACGTTGTTTATATATATAAATATGTTAAGTCATTATTATAATTATTTATGTATAGTATATTTATTGGTTATTTATTATGTAGTTTATTTTCGTGTAAATAAAATTTGTATCATAGAATTTAAAGATTACGTTGTTTTTAATTTTTCTCAAATCCTTATATATTCATATAAGAATGGTGGATTACAAATCAAAGTTGAAAAATAAATATCTTTTAACTAGTTATAAGCATTGTAATGAAAACTTGAAATCATTAGGTATCATTAAATTATATATTTTATTAATTATTAAATATTATATCAAATTGATGGCTATCTAATTACGTGAAGTACGGACCAAGAATTAAGATGTAATTAATGCCACAGTCTAAGACAAGACTAGATTAAATGATTCATGATTTTGGCAAAAAAACATGTATTTATTTTTTTTTGATAAAATATTGAGCACTTTGTGACCAAGTGTCCGTTGGTGAACGAGTGTTCTATTATATAGGAACTTGTTTTTGTTATAATTTAAAAGTACCGGCACAGCAAGGTTTATAGATAATGTATTATTCTATGTTCTATTATTATTATGTATTATTTTTTCTATTATCTATAAACCTTGGTTAATATATTTATAACATATTTGATAAGTTTTTCATTGATTTTCTATTGTTAATTTACTACATTTTGTGTTAAAATGACAGAAGACCCTTTGGTTTCATGTTCACGTTTTATGAAAAGTTCTATGAAAAAAATAATGCGTTTATTTGGCCGTTCATTTAATTTATTTTTATTTTATATTTATGAATCACCAATCTGCATTCTGTGTAAATGGGACCTTTACAAAATGTATTAGGTATATTTTTAATTTATGTTAAAAACGTATACTTAAACATATAATCAATATTTATTATTTATTCATATATTTTTAAAATGGTTAATTCATTTTCACTCCCCAAAAATTTGTATGGGGGGGGGGGGGAGAGGATCAGTTGCAAACAAATTATTGTGGAAGAAAAATTCCTAAATCGATGTATCTGTCAGGGACGGAGTGGAATTTTCCAGATGGGCCGGTACTGGCAGGGAACTTTATGAGCCAGAATGCGACAACAATTAAAAAGTAAAAAAAAAACATTTTAAATAACATTATAAGTATAATTGGCGATCAATTGTTCAACATTTCAAATAACATTTAATGATCATTATTACAAATAAAACTTCTTGTTGTAATCTTAAAGTACGTGATGTTGTTGTATTAATTCATTATTATGATGATTTATCAATACTAATAAATTAACATCAGAATATTAGATAATTAGATATCATGAAAACATGAATATAATAATTATCGACATTCAATATTTTATAATATTTCTACTTTTTCGTACACTCGAATAGCAAGTGTTCGATTTACGCTTGTTCTTATCTATCGCGTCAGTTTTAAATTCTAACAATAGAATTGAATCGTATATTCTTAAGTTGTAAATATGAACCTACATTTTAAGAATATCAGTTGTCTCGATAAACGATCAGTTGAAGTACGTTGATGACAAATGAACACTTGGAGTCATTCATGTTGATGGCCATTGAAAAAAAAATTCTCTGTAGTTTAGATAATAATATGATAATAAATAAAGTTTGTAAAAAATCTAAAACATTTTCTAAATTATTCTTATAAGTTATATTTATTAAAGTATACTAATTTATGAAATTAGTATATATACGTTTTTATATATAAATACTAAATGAAAATATTAAAATAAAAAATGTATTTGTAAATTTTATGAACTATTTGATAGATCAAAGTTTAATTTTTTTCAAATTGATGTGTCTATATGTTAGCCCTTGAAGTAATCAACTGACGAACTAACGAACCGGTAAAATTTATTTTTGCAGACCCGAAATTAAGTCCCACTATGCCCCTGAGTGTGAGTGTCCAACTGTGAGTAACCATAATAAATTTCTAACCTGCACATTTAAATAATAAATAATAAGATATATATATTGAATGTGTCAAAATAATAATTTACAGTAAATCCTTGCAATATTTTTTTGTTTCCTTGTAATTTCCTTACATTAAGAACACTATTTTATACAATTTTAAAAAGACCTATGGGGGATCTGACACCCACATCCCCCTTTGTATACGCCCCTGTAGAAAGAGATAAACAAATAGTGGTGATAATGCTGATATTTTTAAACGTTCATGCGCTAGTTTATGCATAAACCATGACCATATATTAATTATGTAAGTAAATATAGTATTTATATACTTTTGCAACATATAACATAGCGATGCCCAACTTCTTACAATCAATTTTAAATAAAAATAATCAGATTAATGATATCGTTAAATCAAGGGTGTTTTTATTAAAACATGCACAATATGTTCCTGTAAAAATATCCAAATATTTCAAATAAATATTTTGTGAGTGGGTACCCATAAAAAATGATCCAAAAAAAACGTACGAGTTAAAAACGCTTATGGATTTCCAGCGTTCAATTAAATACACTTGGACTAGATGTTTAAGTTGTAATAAGGATACAACACATAATTTTTAGGTCGATCCAAAAATTACAAAGTTTTGATTGTTCAATTACAGTTGGAAATCTCTGATAATAGCAACCTCGGGGATTATATATTCTGTAATTACAAAATAAAGGCTTCGTTTGTAATGAAAATTCACAATCGCTTTTATAAGCTATATAGTTGCATTTTCTACGAGGAAAATCTTAAATCTGGCAGATTCGATCAGGGAGAACAAAACCAACTGGTACATATACCATAAACAACCAAATCACAGAATTACACGAGTGGCCTCAGAATTCAAAAAACGGTCACATTTTGATATTTGAATCAAAAAAATTACATTGTCTCGAGATGTCACTGTAAAACGTGCTTCGGAAAAATAGTTAAAATCCACGAAAAAGTACTTCGGAGAACAGTGCCGCAACTAGGATTCTTGAGGCCCTGAGCGGAAAATCCAATGATTTTTTTTGTTTTCATTTTTTTTTTCTATTTTTTGTTTTCTTTTAGCAGCTACGCTTAAATACTGCCTTAACGTTGACATAATTTTTAAAACCGGCAAAATTACTATTTACTAATAACCAAGGCTCGAAACTTTAGGCATTTGCATATTTGTCTAGAAAGTGCATATTGATATTCTGATTCGATACACATTCAATTCATAGTAGGTATATATATTTCAGATATAAAATTTTTTGTTGCATAATTTTGCATATTTTGTTACTTTTTGTTGTAATTCGTATATTTTGGGTAAGGACGTATTTAATTTGTGGATATGAGGGGAGGGGAAACTAATTTTTCTTCAATACAAACTTAAAAATAATTTACAGTTCATTACAGGGGCGTACTCAAGGGTGAGAGGGTTACGGGTCCGGAACTCCCCCCATTGAAATTTCTACATATTCAATGATTTAATAGTAAATAGTACATAGTGTATTTTAGTTTCCCATTATCTTCAATATACAAAGTTTATAGATTATATAGTATATCTATAATGTATTTATGTATTTATGTATCATGTTTAATTTATATTGCTTTTTTAATATTATTTATTATTGTTAATTAAATAATGTATTTTTTTACAACATTTTATTACCAAATAATAGTTATAATTGATTTCAAATTATAGTACCTACCTATTATAGTAAACCTTTGTGAAAAATATGTGTGATAGGTACTTATAAAAATCCGGGACTCAACAAGTACACTACCTGCGAACCTAGTACTTGGGACCCAACTCGGATGCTCCGAAAATAAGTATTAATAATAACAACACAAATAGTTCTTATATTAATATTGTACCTTCAGTCTGAATCCTGTATAAAAAAAAACAACAAATAATCATAGTAGTAATAGTAACTATTAATTATTTTTTAAAAACTTTAAAAACAATATTTTAGTACTTTTTAGCGCATAAAGTTGTGAGCCTTGCTAATAACTAATTAGGTATTATATCTTTAAAGCTCAATTCACACTAGCGGTCTCGGTTCGATCCGATCACGGTCAAGTCACGGTCAGGTCCGATCGTCTCGACCGGTCGATGCACGATCTAGACTGCCGCGGTCATGAGCTTTTTGATCGAGACCACCTAGTGTGAAGAGTCAACCGCCGCACTAATCTCGGTTATATCCATTGTTTTGATTGTTTTTTTAACACTTTTGTACAGTTTGAGGCAACGTGCAGATAGAACTTGACTGATTGTGACCGGTAGTGAGAACTGTACATCATAATCCTTGACCGGACCGAATCGAGATCGCTAGTGTGAATCGAGCTTAAGACGTAAAAACGAATGAGACTATGAGAATATCGTCTAACATTCAGACAGTCGGACAAGCAATGATGGGGGGGTGGAGTCCAACTTGCTACATGCCTATATAAATATACCACGAAAAGGTGATTACAATAATTATTTTGAGAATCCTAATGGTATGTATAAAGATAACTCATTGCATAACACTGTAATATGTTATCTATAATATAATAGCTTATAGTATATCAATGTGCGATCCGGAGGGCCCCGTTCTAATAAAATTGTAATTAATAAAAATATACAATCGTATAATTATAAGAATAAAAGCATTAAATAATTTTTATGTAATTGATCGTAATGAAATTATTTAGAGGGAGGGGGTCCCGACACCAACCACAAGAGGCTCCTTTACAGGGGCATTGCCCCTGCTGCTCCTGCGGTTTTTGCGGCACTGTCGGAGAAGTAAAAAAGGTTTTCTGTGCGTAAGTTGAAGCGATTGGGAGAAAAGATAGAATTTTGATGTTAATAAATAAGTGAAATCAATGTTGAAATTCTGTGCCAAAAAGGCTCATGGTTGAAAAAGTAGAATTTGGAGCTTAATAAAGAAACGAAATCAATACCCAAATTCTGTGCCAAAAAACACATTATTGAAAAAGTTCCTGAATTTTGGAGTTAATAAAGAAGTGAAATCAATCCCAAAATGCTGTGCCTCAACTTGAAAAAATATTAATTCACAACAATTTCAAGTTGTTCAAATGTTCAAACATTAAAAAAAAAAAAAAAATTAGCTCAGGATGGCGCGAATCATAAATTGTCAACAAAAGTTTGAGTCGGGTAGTAAACTCGTAAACTCTGATTTATTATACACCGTTTTACGGTAATTTTTTTTTTTTTCACTTATTGAATCACCTCCAATAATGTGTAGTTTATAGTTTAGGGACTCATCGTAAATTACCGGAGGCCCAATCATGAGCCAGACCGACAGTGAGTCGGACATGGGCTAGGATAAAATCGAAAGCGTAACGAAAAGTGGAAAATCGTTGATAATAGTATCATTCTGTGATAAAGACCATTGCGGTACGTTGTCGATAAAATATTGTTTCCCCGTTGTCCCACTAACCAAAATGCGTAATCGACAACTGTCCCCATAAACCGTGTTCGTTTCAACGGACTGGTCTACGAAATATTAATTAGTGAATTCGATTTGCAATAATAGGAAAATGTAAATTTTTGAAACAATTAATTGTATATTTTATATAGTTTATAAATTGGAAAAAAATCGTTCCGAAACAAAGATAATTTCGGTGTTAAATAAAGAGATAAGGTTTTACGCCAATAATGTCACACTGTTATGCTATACCGAGATAACCAATTATTTTTTGTTTATTTTGTAGGCTTTGAAATCGTTTTGATAAAAATTGTAAAATGATTTCTCAAAGCTGAGACTACGTACACAATTCTACTGGTTTAGTCTTTTTTTTTAGTTTCTTCGTCAGTTTTCTAGTGCTGTATTTTAGTGAATTTGTGTCATAATGGCAGACCCGTTGACTTTTTTGCGGACTTATAATATTAATAAAAAAGAAATCATAATTAAGGACAATCACATATTATTTGGTGACTTGTCCTGGCCAAAAACTGTAAATACTAATTTTTTAATGTATGGGTAAGTAAACGTATATCTATCGTGAAATCGTCAACATAGATAAATACAGTAAATGTTGTGTTTTGGTTCAAATACATTTTTAGTGTTGCCTGATAAATATAGTTCTTAAATATTTTATGAACGTGTGCTATTATGTTTTAGTTCCGGAAAAGATGGTGCACCAAAAGAGTACTACACATTAGAATGTCTTTTATTTTTATTAAAAAATGTGACTCTTACGCATCCAGTGTATGTGCGACAAGCAGCTGTAAGTAATTGAATATTGTTTGATTTTTGTTGTTTGATTAGTTTTAATTAGTCTATAATTTCAGGCAGAAAATATACCTGTTGTAAGAAGACCTGATCGAAGAGAACTTTTAGCTTACCTAAATGGTGAACTATCTACTTCTGCTAGTATTGATCGCAGTGCTCCTCTTGAAATTCCAACTCAGGTAAATTTGTACATATATTTGAATTTCTAAATTTTTGAATCTTTGTGTTACACTATGATTAACGTATACATTTATATTTTAAACAGGTTAAACGTAGTGCTGCTGATGATGTACAAGAATCTATTGCCAAGAAACCTCGTATGGAGGATACATTACAAGTTCTTAGGGTTAAACAGCAGTTAGCTGCACGTTTGGATGCTCCAAAAGAGTCTGCTGTCAATGTCGACAATATCAAGTAAATTTTATAATTACTATTATTATTTATTTGTACTCAGTAGCATTTTATAAAGTGAGTTATAAAAATTAAATTTTCAAGTTTTTGACATTAAAGTATTTATTGCAGTATTCACTTTATAAGTATAAAGTATAATGTAATAATTAAAACTATTATGGCATTATTGCATTTTTTTTGTTTAAATTCTGATTATTTTAAAATACTTTAAATTTAAACTATAATGTTATTTATAATGTTGTAAATACTTTCAAAAAATATTATTTATAGATCCCTTTCGGAAGCAATGTCTGTTGAAAAAATTGCAGCAATTAAAGCTAAACGTTTAGCTAAAAAACGTACCACTATTAAAGGCCATGATGATATAGGTCTTGGACCAGATCTTAGAGTAATGTTAGATTTTGATGTAGATATTACAAAAGATATTATTAAAAGAGAAAGAGAATGGCGAACTCGAACAACTATCTTACAAAGCAATGGAAAAGTAAAATACATTTTTAAATATACTTATCCACCAATTTTAATTATTTAATTTAATTGTGTTAAAGGTTTTTGGAAAGAATATTTTTGCAATACTTCAATCAATTAAAAATAGAGAAGATGGTAGGTCTCGTCCATCACATAGTATGGCAGCAACACCACGTGTAGCTCCTCCCAAACCTACTATACCACAGCAAACTGTTTATAATCGTTATGACCAAGAAAGATTTATTAAATCCAGAGAAGGTTTGTGAATTTCTTAAATATTAATATATAGAATTTGTGATGGCTATGAATTTTTTTTGTGTGTAGACACGGAAGGTTTTAAAATTGATACTATGGGTACATACCATGGTATGACATTAAAATCTGTAACGGAAGGAACAGTTCCAAAAAAACCAGTGGCTACTGTCACTCCTGTTCAACAATCATCACGACCAGGACCACATGTAAGTCAACTAGTTGTAGTATTGATTATTTTATTATAAAATGTACTTTTGTAAATATTAAAAATAATTAAAAAAAAAAAAAAAATTGTTTATGTTAGTTTACGGAAAAGGAGATTCTGGTAAGTTGAAAAAAAAATGATAAAAATATTGTATTTATAATATATTTTAGATAAAATAATTATGTTAAGATGGGTCTTACATACAATTTAATTATACAAAATACCAAATATAATAATTTTAATTAGGATTGTTATGTTTTTATTACAATATATTATAGTTTACAAAATGGGTGGTTGAATTATTGATGCAAGGAAAGATCTTTTTGTTTTGATCCTACGTATTTCAATTATTTAACAACTTTTGATTTAGTTTTTTTGTTTATGTACCACATATATTTTGAGGTACTTATTTATACCTATTATTTTTTTATTTAACATTTTATTAAACTTTATTTTGTGCTGTATTCATTCATAAATGATTTTACTTTTTTTGACTTTTTTAGTCAGTCAAATATTCTATTTATATAGACTAATTTATTTTTCCTTAAAAAACATAATTTGTTATTAATGTTATTAAAACCATCATCAATACTCTATTCCATTTAAGTTTACCAACTCCACTGACAAAAACTGATTAACGCTATAAAACTCCTCCCATATACGTTACCTACTATGATCACTGATGTTAAAAACATTATGGACTATACATAGTTATGTATGTATATATTGTATTGTCACAATGTTTTTTCTGTATACCCATACATTTTTTTTTCTGTATTATTATTTAATATGTATACGTGAGAGTGTTTAAATATTCACATTACAATTTATATTATTATTGTGAGTCATTTAAATGATTTTATTTCTATAATCATCTGTATACATGGTTACGTTCATCGACAACAATAAGTGCTGAGAAACGGTGACCTATCATAGAGCATCTGGCACTGTGTGGGCGGTTCTGTATGCATGTGTGAAATTGAGTATACTTAAATGGAATTGAATATAGTTTTATAGTTATTTATGTTTTTATCTTTCTAAAATTTGATGAACTTCATCTTTTTATCTTCTACAATATATTATTTTTGGATTAGATTGATTTATTAATGGTTGAAAAGAAAATATTTTATGTCTGAAAGTCTTGTGTGATCAGATGATTCAACTGAATCATAATAAATGTATTTAAAATTTTCAATTTGTTTTTTAAATAATTATAAAAAAATATCTTTCAAAAAGTTAACATTTTAATTACATAATAAGTTTAAATTATAATTTTATAAATTTTCCAGATTATTATTCAATATATTGTTATGAATACAGCATGTAGAATAAATCAAAGAAATGTTAAATAAAATGTTTGCACTTAAAATCTTTTTGATGAAACTATGAAATGAGAAACTTGTTTTCTACAGTTACAAAATTGATAATATTTTTGCATTATATTTAATACTTAAAAAAAATTTTTGAACGTACTTTTCTTTTATTTTTTTAACTGCAGTTTTTGATAATACTTTTTTTTATATATTTTTTTAATTCCTTCTTATATTTGCTCAGTCTTATTTAATTTTTGTTCTTTACAAAAAATAATGCTTTGTACTGAAATCATTTTCACTTGTAGTAAAGTATTTGAACTAATCTGAATTCCAATTAAATATAGGCCAAATTAACTGCTTCTCAACAAGCAAAACAAAGAGTATCAAGAACTCCAATTATTGTTATACCTGCTGGGCAATCCTCATTGATATCTATGCATAATGCTCGAGAAATTTTACAAGATCTGAAGTAAGTAATATTTTAAATTATTATTAAGACTTCTAAGTGAAATTTTTTTAATTTTTTTTTTTTTTAGTTAATTAGTTTTAAGTTTTAGTTTATGTATTATTGTACTCAATTACAGGTTAAAGATATAGTTAAAATTAGTGTGTATTGTAATGAATTTTGATCAATTGAAATTTATTGGTAATTATAGGTTCTTAAAATGTTTAATAAAGTTAAAAAAGTAAGTTGAACTTATTAATACTGTACCTAAAATAATAAACTTCATAATTTAAATTTTCAGTTAATTGTAAAACTTAAACACAAAAAATAAATTAATACATTTTCTAAGTATTCATAAAAAAATTGTTAAATAAATTTATAATATTTTTCGAAAAATATTTTTTTTTTACTCAAAAATTAAATAACTTTTTAATTAAATATTTCTTTTCTCTTTAAATATAAAATTTAAATTAAAGGATAATGTCAAGTGTATATTTTTGGTTAGTCTAGAACAGGGATGGTGAACCTTTTGATAACCTTTTTTTTTTTTTTTTGTTGCTTAGATAATAATTAAACATATAAACTGGATTTTATTTGTTGTTACATTTAAATTTTACATTGTTTACTATTAAACAGTAATATAAACACATAATTTTAAACACTAAAATAACAAAATTTCAAAGAAATATGTTTTAATAATTAAAACAATTTGTAAAAATTTAAAAGTCAAATCAAAAATTTTTTTTTAAGTATTCTCCGTCAGAAAGTGGTTAACCATTCTGCGCAATGCAATGCGATACAGAAAAACAAGTGACTGATAAATTATTTTATTTAAAAGCCACTTTAAACTTATTTGATTGACAATTTTAATTTTTATTCAGCAGATAGAAAAAATAAATTATTATGGATTTACTCTAAATATCTTTTGACATTGAAATTAAGGTTTAAAACTATTTCATCACACAAACAATACTTATATTGTTTTTAACTACATCAAAATTGACTGTCCACTATTCGTGGAATAATCTCCCACTTCCACTTGTCCTCAGATTTAGATTTAATTTTTGTACATCAATATTTTGTACATTTATAATAGCCTATTCATTATTTTATACAAATTTCTAATTTTGCTGAAATATTGGTAAGCAAAATAATATTCACTAATGTTTTAAACTGCCAGCTGAAACACGAGTTATACTTAAACATTGAACGAAAGTGAGTAAGTCTGAAATCATAATGAATAAGTTGAATAAAATAGTCATCGTATAAGGCAGGGGTCTTCAACATTTTTATGCAGCGGGTCAAATATTATTTTTTTTTAAATCTTGCGGGCATTCGTTGTAAAAACATGTATTATATATAAAAATTCAGTTTTATTCTTACAATTTTTAAAATTAGGTAAGTACATTTAAAATTTCAAATTAGTAAATTTAATAATTTAAAAAAATTGTTATTGGACCATTTTTCTTGAAAAACGCGTTTTTCATCCGAGATTTTACGTTTTTTACTCACCGACATATTGTACAAATATTATGAAGAAAAAGTATGAAATTGAAATTTTTACACATTAAGGAAAATATTGTGCTCGTTCCACAATCGATTACGAACCAACAGACAATAATAATTATATATTGATAGGTAATTAAATTTATATTATCACATATTTCTGATAGCGATAGCTTAACTGTTATAATTTTATTGAATTAGTAAATGTAAATGAAAAATATAAAATGTGATCACGGGCCGCATATTATGATAGGGCGGACTGGGGGTTGAAGACCCCTGGTATAAGGCATCCGAAACTGTATCTGTAAACGACTGTACATAAACGCGATAAACAAAATTTGATACATATAATGTATTCGCAGGGCCGTAGCAACTAAATATTGCGCCCGAGGCGAAAATTTAAAATACGTCCTTAAGTATTTTAATTTATAAAAAAAACTTACAAAAAACCTGAATATTTTTTATAGATGTAATGTAAATAATGATGTTTCCTTAAAATGATGTAAGCATTATTTAATTTTATTTAAATCAATAACTTATTGAAGCATAAATATGCATAATAATTATAAGTAGGTTCATAGGTATAGCATAATAATATTTATAAGTTATACATATAATTACATAAATATATAATATTTCTTTTACTTATAAATAACAATTAAACTGCAAATATTTCATTTTTGCGCCCAGGGTATAGGCACCTCTAGCCCCCCCCCCCCCCATTTGCTACGACCTTGTGTATTTGTACGCAATGGTCGTAAGGTTTGATAATCAAATCGTTTTGTTTACAAAATTGAGAAATGGGAAGTACACATTTCTGAATATAATTAGTTAACAATGATTTCAAATTATTTTAAATAATTAGCTTTTTTTATGTAAAGTGAAGGAAAAATTATTAATTATATTTAGATTGGCGTGTCACTGAGATAATATGTATGTGTCACAGACTGACATGCCTGACATAGGTTTGTTATCATTAATCTAGAGCTTATATTATATATGATCATATTTGTTTCTATTCTGATTGAATCTATTTTGTATTATGACTTTGTTTTAAGTTTATAAATAACAGATTTTAACTTATATTGGACTATCAAAATTTTATATTTTATAATGTATTTTATTTTTGTTATCAATTAGATTTGTTTCAATTGAAGAAACAAAGCAGAATGGAACAAAACGTGACAACGAATTGCTTTTACAACGTCGTAAAGATGGAGGTATGACGGTGCCTTATCGTGTGGTTGACAATCCCCAAAGACTGACACAAGGAGAATGGGACAGAGTGGTAGCTGTATTCGTAATGGGACCTGCATGGCAGTTTAAGGGATGGCCATGGGATGGAAATCCTGTAGAAATTTTTGCTAAAAGTAAGTCATATCTCATATTATGTTTTGGTTTCAATAAACAATATTAAATAATATATATATATATATATATGTGTGTAAATAAATATACTTACGATAAATAGTATTGTTTAGCAAGAAATTAAGCAAATTAGATATAAAGCAGCAAGCAGTAATATATTTACTACTAACAAGAGATTTTTAAAATAGTCTACACCATGGACTGTCAAGATTTTAAAAATTTATTTCTGTAATTTTGGTAGTAATTTAATTGTTTTGTTAGCTTTGTCAGTTAAAGAGCTTCTTAAAATTTAAACTTTTAAAAAACGAATGTACAATTATTTTAAAATTTGTGTAGAATCTTTTAGGAATATGGGAGTGTTTGAAATAATTCTTACAAAAGATAAAAATAAATTTGTCTAATTTTTTTATTAAAACCTGAATCTACATTATATTGCCATTACATGTCCTGCATCAAATAATTTATACATGAGTTTCATTTCTGGATTTCAAGTTGATAAGTATTATTCAAATAAAAAAATAAAAATGGTTTTAGTAGTATGGATACAAATAATTATAAAAATATGGACAAAACTATACTAATTATAATACATAAACAACCAAATTGTTCTCTTGTTCCTACCACTATACATTTTATGTTTTATAATATTTTTGAGTCACAACTAGTAAATAATACAATAAAATTCATTTTTTTTTTTTTTTTTTGGACCTTTTTTATTGCTTAATTTATTTTATCTTCTGTACTCCAATAGAAATTAATTGTTGACCTCTGGTATATAGTATATACTTAAAAGTAGAGCCTGGTTTTATATGCATTTGCATGTTTGTACTAAGTGTATGCACATCTATGGAGATTCAAATTTTCCACGATTCATATCACACTGAATTTAACACCAAATTTTATATTGCATATTTTGCATAATTGTTCATAAATGCATAAACATGCATATTTAATGGGTTTTTAATAAATTAAAAATTTTTGTATTTTTTTTAAATTTTCTATTCGTTTTTTGAGAGTAGGTAACTTTAAATGATCTAAAATATTTATTTTTGTTTTTATTTTTATTTGTATTCTTGTTTTTAAGTTTTCTAAAAGTTTTAGATTTATTTTAATGATTTGAAATATAAAGCAGTGGATATTATCATTTTTTTTGTTTTTGAATTTTTTTTTAGAATTTTATAAAGTGTAACATAATGTATATAATTGCATATTTGCCAACGGCGTATTTGAGTTGAAGCCATGGGGTTGGTGGGGAGGGGCGAAACTAATTTTTCTTCAATACAAACTTAAAAATAATTTACAGTTCATTACAGGGGCGTACCCAAGGGGGGTTTTTGGGTCCGACTCCCCCATTGAAATTTCTACATACTCAATGGTTTAATAGTAAATAGTATATAGGTAGTGTAATTTAATTTCCCGTTATTTTCAATATACAAAATTTATAATTTATATAATATACCAATAATGTATGAACCTTGTTTAATTTATACTGCTTTTTTAATATTATTTTTTATTGTTAGTTAAATAATGTATTTTTTTATAACTTTTTACTATCAAATAAAAATTTATTTCAAATTATAATACCTACGTATTATAGTAAACCTTTGTGCAGAATATGTGTGATGTGTGTATTAGTATTGTGACTATTACTATAGTTATTAATAGTAATTTGTTGGTATTAAATTAAACTATAATTATAATTAGAAACTAGATAAAATATTCCTAGAAAATTTCTGGGTACGCCTCTGGTTCATTATCTACAGCTCATGTTCCTGTTGCTCATTCGAGTGAATAATTAAAAATACAAGTACTAAATTGAATTTAATATTTATTTAATAAATATATTTAAATAGTGCTGGATGAAACATTTGTGAGGCCCTAAGGCGGGCGCCTACTCTGCCTAATGGGTAATCTGGCACTGTATTTAAAACCTACTGCATATAAAATAAGTATAAATAATGACAACACGAATAGTTCTTATATTAAAATTGTACTTTTAGTCTGAATCCTGTATAAAAAATACAACCAAAAATCATAGTAGTAATAGTACCTATTAATTATTTTTTAAAAACTTTAAAAAACAATTGAGATAGGTAACTTAATTTAACAAATATCTAAGTAGAAAACAAGATTGGTAAGTAGTCAAATATCAAATTCCAAATTTATTTTTTTCATTTTGGCAAATTTGTTGATTGTTACATCAATGGATACAATAATATTTTTATGCCCGTGCAGCTAAGCCAAATCTGTTAGTCTATGCTTGCCTATTCTTGATCTTAACCATGTTTTCAATTTACAAAAATATATTTTTGGCCAATATTTGCAAGTTAAAGAATATGGAAACAAATATTGCCAGTTATTATGATTATTATTTGGGTTAGGGACTTCTAGCTTTATAAAATATACAAATACGCATGCATTTGTGCACAAAAAAATGACTAAATACCTATGCACAACAAAAAGTACCAGATATTATGATGTTAAAAAAAATAGGCCATTAAAATTATTAAGGACTTATATAGCTCTAATAAATACAAAAATATACAATATGCATAAATGCACCAATAAAATGACTAACTAGTAAATATGTATGTGGTAAAAAAAAGTGTTATTTTTAATTACTTTATTTTATCTGATAAATAAAATACCTCGGTTATGGTTGTAAATGTTTATAACCGTAGCAACATCTGTGGAAGATAATACTACTATTCGTTCCACAACCAAAATTGTTATAATATATGAAGATAAACAAAAATTGATACCCGTGATCGAATTGACATATTATTGAATTTATTATCATACTATAATGATAATTACTAGTAATTTATATTCTTAATTATTTATACGTTAGATTTTTTAAATAAATCAATGTATTATATTCAAAAAAAATACGAGCCATGGAAGGGAATGCCCCTTTCGCCTCCCTCAAATACGCCCTTGATATTTACAACATATTTGACACTTTTTAAATGCATACAAATCCGGGCTCTACTTATAAGTTATAATTTATATTTATGTATGTACAATGAACCGTAATTATTTTGCATTATTTTTGTTAATTATAAAACAAAAAATGTAGGTATTAATAAATAAAAAATTGAGGTTTTATTGTACAAAGGTTTGATAAGAAAATTATAAATATTTGGTAATAATTAATTAGAATTTTATTATTTATTATTTTCAGTATGTGCGTTTCATTTGAAGTTTGATGAAATGAAATTGGATAAAAATGTAGCCAAATGGGCTGTTAATGTATTAGAGATATCAAGGACCAGACGCCATTTAGATCGAGCAACTCTCATGGTATTCTGGGAAAAATTAGACAAGTATGAATTAACGATAAAATATTGTTATATTTTTGTATTCAACCTTATGGTTGGGTTTGCAGTAGGATATGTGTTCTTTACTCTTCCATGTTTCCAGCACATCTCTTCATTTTGAATTATATGTTGATATAAATAACTTATTGTTGACAAACTCGTAATAATAATAAATAATAATAAATAAATCACAGTAAAAACACATATAATCGATAAGACTCACAAACACACACTAAACACGTATAATATAAAGCTATACCTACTAATTTGCCTAACCTACCAAGGTATAAATATAATACAATTTGGGGTTTTATAAAAGCTTAATCTTAATTGTAAAATGATTAAATATATATAATATACAGCATACGGATATGCGGTAGATATACTAAATTATCATCAAATTATGGTAGATAAAATATTTAGGGTAAATAGCATATTGGACGAGTACCGAATTATCATTTAATTACTCACTATTAAATATATATGAATTAGATAAGTATGCAAAACAAATTTTATTTTATAGTATTGAAGAAAGATACCAAGAAGTTAAAGGTACCTATGAGGAGATTAATGACAATAAGCAGTGATGTGATAGGTGAAGTGAAGAACTTTAAATATTTAAGATCATTGTACAAAAAGACATGGATTTTGACATGGATGTAAAACATAGAATTAAGTGCGGTTGGATGAAATGGAGAGAAGCATCTGGAATTTTATGTGATAAGAGAATGAGGTTGAAACGTAAATTTTACAAGATTATAGCGAAACCAACTATACTATATGGTTCGGAGTGTTAGACGGTTGATAGGAGAATAGAATAGAGTATGAGTATTGCAGAAATGAAAATGCTTAAATGGATGAGTGGAGAGACAAGAGAAGATAGAATAAGGAAAGATTCTATGAGAGGTAGAATTGGTGTAGCGTCGATAGTAGACAAAATGAGAGAAAAAACTAAGTTGGTTTGGACATGTTATGAGGCGTGAGGAAAAAAAAAGCAGTAAGAGTGATTACAAAAATGAATGTCGAAGAGAAAAGAGGAAGAGGAAAATCAAAAAAGAGATGGTTGGATATGATTGAGAATGATATGAGGGCTAGGCTGTTGATGTGTGCGCAGGGGATGTAGAAAATCGAGATGAGTGGAGGTTTAGGACAAGGTGGCTGATCCCAAATAGATGGAAAAAAGGCGAAGAAGAAGATATATTTTTACTAGTGATGGATCGAATTGTTTGAATCTCGAACCGAACCGAATCCTTGATGTTCGGTTCGGTTCGAAAATCGAATTTGAAAATATTTGTCAAACTTACTGGCCACGATAGTTCGAAAACTAAATATTTGTATAATTCTTCAAAAGTTATTTTTGAAAAATAAAAATTGATATTGATTATTTAGTAATAATTAGACTATTGGCAATAGAAACTGATAATCTGTAGCGGGCACGTTATGCATTATTTATAATAATAATGTTATTTTTCCAGTCGCCTGTTACACATCCACCCTCCGCTTACCAAAACATTAATAAGTTGTTTGTTGCCACTAGAGTTAGTGTATCTATATTCATAATATAGCTATTTTTGATTTTATCATATTTATTGTAGAGCAGAGCTTCCCAAAGTTTTTCGACTCAAGGCGCCCTTTTTGATCCAAGGTTTTTTCAGGGCGCCCTTCTCTAAGTCATAGCATGACCAATCATAAGAAAAATGTTAGACCCAATAGTATTTCATGACGGCGCGGCACCCTTATACATCGCGGCGCACACTTTGGGAACCTATGTTGTAGAGGTTAAAATCTATTTTGGGTAAATCCATGGTAATATTCCGATACGCGACTATGCTGTTAATAAAAACATGTTTACGTCTTACATTATAAATTCTACTAATCTTTCTATATTTGTGAATTATAGTTATTATTAATATTTTTTTTATATATTATTAAAATGTACTGATTGTACTGTCATATTATACTCAATACTCAAATAATATTTTATAAGCTACAAGACAACATGAGGGGGCACAATACTGGTTTTGAAAAATAATAATAATAATAAGAAGAAATTATCTAAAATTTAAATGTATTGTAAATAATACAATTACTTAGACTTAAAAGTTAAAATGTAGAATAGGTAATACGAAAACTTAAAATACAATAGTTATTAATAATTATGGTGATTTAATTTGTATAATTTGTAGGTAGGTACAATCATTGATTAAATATACATAGATAGCCCACGCTACGTTATAAAGTGCGTAGTACAATGTACATGATAAAATGTATTGAGTTCGAGTTCGAATTCGACTTAAAATCATAATAGATTCGGTTAGGTTCGGTTCGGTTCAGTAGAAAATATGAAGGTTCGATTCAGATCGAGTTCGAAAAAATAATTTAAAGTTCGGTTCGATTTAAAAAATCAGGGTTTGACCCATCACTAATTTTTACTAATATCTCAATTTCATAAAATATGTGACTCGTGAAGTTTCTGTAATCATCGATTCATGTATATCAGTAATGCCCAACCTTTTTCCTTTGGCGGGCCACTTTAGTAAACAATTATCTTCAAACAGGTCACAAAGTATAAAAGTACAAAAATAATCTTATATATTGGACTTGTTTTCATATCTTTATTGTCCATTGAAAAGATTATGAATTGAGGTATACATCATAGGTACACATTAGTTTGATCAGTACGTTATTTTAAGTACCTACATTTAAATATTTAAAATTTAAAATTATAAGGACCGGGAAAACTTATATTTGACATGTATAATACTGTTAAAGCATTTGATGCAGTATTAAAATTATTTATTGATCAAATTGAGCGTAGTGACTTTAGCCATTTTGAAAACTGCCAAATGTTTAAAAATGAAACAAAACCGTTATGTTCAACAAATCGATTTGTTGAAATGTTAAAGAAGTCGGAAACCAATTTTTCATCTCGATTTTTTGATGTTAAATTATACGAAAAATCGTGGCGTTTATTTGAAAATCCATTTAATATTGATGAAAATGATGTTGACACTTTTCTTCAACTTGAATTTATTGAGTTGTAAACAAATTCATTTTACTGTGATGAATTTCAAAAAATGAAACAAAACGATATTTTAAAATTTTATTCAAAACTTCCACATGAAGATTTCCTTGCTTTAAGAGACTTTATAATGTATTTGGTTGGACTTATATGTACGAACAAATATTTTCACCAATGAAACAAACAAAATCGGTTCATAGATCGCGACTTACGGATAAACATCTTCATTCAATTTTGAAGATTAGAACCACTAAATTTCAATCAGATTTTTCATTATTTGTAAAAGGAGTACAAGCTCAAATTTCACATTAAAAATTAGAGTATAATATTTTTGTATAGTTTTTAGTTTTATTATTATCATTATAATTGTATTTTTTGGAATAATTATTTAAACAAATTTATACATTTATATAAAAATAATATATGAAAATAAATAATTTAAAAATGTTTTTAAACATTTTTAAAATTTTTTTTTATTTTAGAAAATTCGTAACGGGCCACATAGAATACCGTCGCGGGCCATATGTGGCCTGTGGGGGGCCGCGGGTTGGGCACCATTGATGTATATTATACTCTATAATATATATATTTAATATTATATAAGATCCATATTAATTAAAATTATCATTATGTATAGTAACAAATATAATATATTGTATCAATTATTTTTTTTTCCAGACATATTATGAAGTGCAAACCAACCTTAAGATTTTAGACACCAAATTAAATTGTTGACAGTTTATTGACTTGTAATATACTTTTTTTTTAACAATTAATGTATTTCTTATTATTTAAGCAATTTAATAATTAAAGTTTTAAAAAATTGTTTATTTTCTTTATACTTTTATCTTAAAGTATATTAAATACAATTTTTTTTTTCATAGTCTAAAAGAAAATATTCTTCAAATCATCAATATAAAGCAATATTCAGTCTTTTATTGATGTCATAATGTTTATTTTCTATCTCTTTATAATTATTTTATTTGCAACTGTATTACAAAACTTGTAAATATTGGAATTTATCCTGATAATTATATTACCATGGGAAGTAATTTTTCATACTACCATTTGTTTTTAAAATAATTAACGTTGTTTATCTATAATTTTAAGTAAAATAAGTCAAAGTATTATAATAAATTGAAATAAATAAATTTTGATATTTTGAAATGGTTGATCGTATTTTATTAGTTTAATAAATAACTAAAGGTTTTAAAATATCAATTGGAAATAAACGTATTGACGGTACAGTAAATCAGTCATATTTAGTTTATGGATGATGTAAAGCCATTATATATTTTATAATATAATATAATATGTATTACATATAAATGATTTAATACATACCGTTAAATTAATAATTTGGTCATTTATGACAGTTAGGAAAATTAACTACCATGTTGATTGTTTAATTGAGTGTGAAATGATCAGTGATCTACTCGTATAATCATGTATGAAGAGGCTTTATTGTTTTACCTAGATAAATATATAAATATTTAAAAGATCGGAAAATTATAACTGCCTAATGGACGAAATAAAGAGTTGGAAATATTTTTATTTTTTTCTATTATGAAAATTTGGTATTCAAAATCATACTACTTTTCTGTAAATGCGAAATATACATTATTTTGTTGTAATATTATTGATAAACCATAAAATGAATATGTGTTAGATGATAAGTATGTTTATAACAAAAAAAAAAACCTTATGATCGAGTTATCTTTTACTTACATTAATTTTTGATAGTTAAGTAGTTGCAGTGGATCAGAGAAATCAAGGGTCCCAGGGGCTAATTAATCCAGGATTTTTACACGAGGTATTAAACTTGCCACTGATACGTAGTGTCTTCTTTTAAAATGTGTATACCAAAGAGATAATGTAATCGCAGTCATGATTATACCACAGACTAAATGAAAATAATTATTTATAGCCTATTGGTCTTGAAAATGTCTACGTTTTAGATCAATAATGTAGTGTTTATTTTATTGTAGACTCGCTATAATTATTTGGGTAGGTTTCATGTTAGTACATGTACGATTCATGTTAGTGATTCATAAGTAGCTTGATACTATAACCGAGACGTAGTGAACTTGTTCAGGCCTAGGGTCTTTTTTGAAACCCGGGCCCCTGGGATACGGCCTTAGCTGCTCCCCTTTCGTCGGGCCTGCACATGCCCAACGTGCTGCATGAAAAACGAAAAATATTCGAAAACAATATAAATGTCTAGTGGCTTACAAGCTGCCGCGTATCAGTACGGTATAATTATTGGCTAGGTTGGAACTCATAGAAAAATGATTCTATAGAACGCTTTAATTTTAACGTTACTACTACCTATAGTATTACTAAATTGTTTTCTTAGCCACTAACCGACATTCGAATAAAAATAATATCTTTTGTAAGTATCGATTATTATTGATGACAGTACATTTTTTTCATACAATAAGTAACTTAGATGAAATATTAATAGGAAACAACATGGAAGTATATGACGAATGAAACCTACTAGTGTGGGAGTCCTCAGACGTTGATGAAAGTTGATTAATATGTCAGGATTCAAGAAATCCTGACACCAGTGTCCTCATAGCTGATGAGATGAATTTATAATACAGAAACTATTGGGTATGTGTGGTTTGATTTATTGTGAACGATTTTATCGTAATTTTTTATTCTGAAAGACTGTTTTAATATTTAAGTCTGTGTGGAGTGTGAGGTTTGAAATTTACTAAGGTGGTGGAAGTTATTTATCATAGGGAATTAATTACAAGGCTTATATTATAAGGTATTTGAGATAGTTTAAAATTACCACATACTTTAATATTGTAATTCCAGGTATAAGTTTTAATATTGTTTTTGTTCATTAATAATTCAATTGAAAGTTTTGATTTTAGAATTGGGCCCATTAGGGGAAGTTTAGTATTTAACACCTTAATTTTGATTTTTAGATTAGGACCTCAAATAAGGCGTGCGTTGAGTGCAAAGTCCTAAATATTTTTGATTTGAGTCATAATTAGAATTTGGGCATCTTAAAAGTAAATTTCATGTGAGTTACTCTTTATTAAGAAATATAACGGAATATGAAAGAACTTGTCTGCACTCATTTTAATTTCCTATTTGGTGGACCATTTTGCAATTTTAACGAAATGTACATATTTAATGGTTTTGTGATGTTGATGTGGGATCAAAATTTTAAGAAAAAATAGCCTTGCAATGTGGCAGACTGAATTATAGAAAACGAATAATAAATGAAGAATAATGTATAAATATTTAAAAATTAACACAAATGTAAAAATCGCCAGTGTACAGAGCCGTTTAGGTCGAGATATCGGATAAGGTTTCAAACGACGATTGGATGCTTGGTGCAACAGAAAGATATCGTTTATAACGTCACAGAATTTTATGTGAATGTTTAAACCGTGCAAAGTCTGAGGCACAGTCATATCTATTGCGACCCACCACCACTGTCATTTCTTTATCGCGTCGTCGGCGTGCATCGCAGGGCATTGTACATTATTGTTATATTATCAGTATTAAATTTAATTGCCCCTCTGTCATCAACAACGAGCCGAGGCCAACGGACTCCACCGACGACAATCGCCAGTTTGAACTTTTTGTATATTGTGAAGAAAATCAAAGTTTCACAATTTATATTGTTATTATTAAAATTTTTTGACTGTATCTTCATCCAACATCATGGCCGGCTGAAGACAACACGATGGGCTCTTGGCGGGCGCAACAAGCCGAAAACACCGACGGGTATTAATATCAAAAATACTGGCCTCCCTTTTGATTTTATTTTGGACTCGTACCTCATGTTTTTTTTTATTTTTATTTAATTTTTTTTTTCTGTATTTTTTTTTTCATTTCATACATTGGCATTTTAAATAATAGCATCCGGCCATTCCATATCTTTTTCTTCCTAATCTTACCGTCCAATTGCTGACCAACTTTATTATTATTATTTCACCTCGGGCGTGCTCAAGGTGCTCCACCTGAGCCTGGAGCTCTACCGCCTGAGCAGTCGACGGGACCACAAACAAGTCGCCTGGTCAGTATTCATCATTTCTATCCAAATTTTTCCATTTTATTCATTACTATTATTATTATCAAAATACTAAATGAGTTGTCAAGATCAATATACCTCCGCTTAATACCATTAAATTTCTATTTTATTAACAACATTTTTTTTTATCTAATCCAAAGCCTATGGGCTCAGCCGACATATCATGTGGGCCGGCTCATAGGTCATTGGCCGAGTGTTCCTCTCGGCCAATGAGTACATAGTAAGCACGTTTGGAGCCGAAAGGTTACACGGTGTAGGTATATTTTATGAATAATAGTAATTTCGATTACTTTAGTATTGTGCAGGTCTTATATACATTATGTTTTAATTAGTTGTCCCGATTGAACGTATGTGTATATTCATCGACTGGACGGTGTATACTGGATTCGGCGATCACAACATGTGTTACGTATTTGGTATTGTTAGGTTGAACATCCTATGACGTCCATCGTGTACATTGTAACTATCAATTTATGTGGTATTTCCATGATAAATATAAATGTATTTTTGATGTAGAATTTGACAAGTGGCTAAATTTATAAAGAGAAGTTTTGAACATTTGTTCTTTTAATTTAATAATTATTTAAATTACCTATATTTAAAAATAAACGAACGAAGAAAATAACGAAACAATCTTTTGAAAACAATCAATATTTAAAAAAAAAAAATTAAAGAATTTCAATATGTTCCTTTACTTTCAATAGGAACTCGACTCAAAAATCAAAAAAAAAAAAAAAAATCAAAGGACCGCGTTCCTTGAAACTGATTCCACACCCCTGGGAAAAAAATGTCTTATGCCTTTTGTATACTGTTGTAGTACACATGGATGTAAACTCTATGGATCTAAACTTCATTTTCATACAATTAAGTATTTAACCGAATACGTATTAACAATAGTTACATTCGATTAAAAATGAGGTTGGCTAATATCGTTGTGACTTATGTATATTCGGTTACTATGCGACATTAGAAATTAACTGATGCGTACAAGTAAACGAAAATATATTTCAGTTATTTGATTATTTACGGTAAAATTGCTACGAATTTATATTTTGAAAATATTATTCGTCGCAATATATCTTTCTTTAGAGCTATTTACTTCAGTGTTGTAGTATATCAACTACATTAATTTTGCTTCTGCTATAAGAATTAATATCGAAGGAAATATGAGCCAATACGAAGAAGTCAACGGTAAACATTTTTATTTACATAATAGCGGTAAATAGAACGCGAAAATTATAATTACGTACTAATTATTTGTATAAAGCTGCAGCATCTGGAGCTTTGAACAGCAAGACCGAAAACATGCAAGACGAGGGACTTGTGACCCGAAGAACTGTTAAGAAATACCCGATGGACCGGGATCTACAATCGTGGCGAAAACGTCAAACGCACCAATCAGGAACACCGATCACTACAGTAATCTAATGACAATATATATTTTATTCATCATTGACCTAAAAAAAATACTATTTCAAACGATCACCTTAGACGATGACTCCATCCTTCAACCGAGTGAATCATTTTTTCCTACCAAAAGAAGAAGCCATTGTATTGCATACTTCCAAGAACGCATGGATTCCTCCATGCTTAAAAGCGAAAGACACAAACAATGGTCAACCGTTGAACGATGAAGACTTGCAAATAGAAGTAAATAATAATCTTATAGAGTAGTAATTCATTCGATAATAATATCATATTGAACACGATTATAAGCAAGATTACCTTCTGTTAATGCTAAATATTTTATTGTTGTTGTACAACTTTATACATAAATAAGCATACATTTTTTTTTGTTTATCAAGGATATTCGAAAAAAATTCTTGTCAATTCTCAACAAATTATCACCAGGAAACATGGTCCCGTTGACGGAAACCATTATGTCATTGCCAATCGAAACAGAAAAGTGCATGAACACAGTTATCGAAATACTATTTCAAAAAGTAAGTTATTCATAAAGTTCATGTGCATATGTGTATTAAGTAATTTATTATTAGTGATTGAATCTTTTGTGCGAATCATTTACAAAAATACCTATCTTTAGAAACGAATATTATTTATATTTTTAATCGTTTTCAAACGCTATTTAGGCCATAAACGAACCAAGTTTTACTCCACAATATGCGTATATATGCACGGGAATGCACACCAAAGAAGTAAAACTGAACGATAAGAAGTCAAAAATATCGTTTAACAAATTGCTGACAAAGTGTTGCCAAGAAAGGTTGAATCAAATGCGTGTCCACGAACAAACTTTAGCCAAAGAACGTCAAGCAATAGATGATTGCCAAGATCAAGTAAACATATCGTTCAAATCTCTGATATAGCTTCAATTGACTATGATACCATCTCTCTTACTTGTTATACAATAAGAATAACATTTTACAGGATGTTAAGGATCAGCTGAAGTTCAAATATGATCAGGACGAATTGGCTTACAGAAAAAAATCAATAGGAAACTGCAGGTACGAACATAATAAAAAAAGAGAAAAATTAATGATCTTGGCTGTAGGTACACGATATATTTTTGGATTTTCAGATACATGTGTGAGCTTTATAAGGTAGGTATATTAACGAATCGGACTCTGAAAACGAGTATAAATTACCTATTGAAGTCGCCAAATGAAGAAAACCTTGAATGTGCATGTAATATACTGAAACACGTAGGAAAAACAATAAGTCATGTAAGATAATACCGAGTCTATAATATAATATCGTCGAAACGCGATTGAAATATCAAATGTTGTTATAATATTTATTGGTTGGATTATAATTATAGAGAGCTACTTTCAATAAGCTTAATGAGTACATGTCTGCGATTTATAAGACTAAGATTCCAACGAGAATTCGATTTATGATACAAGACATCATAGAACTCAAGAACAATGATTGGGTACCGATAAATGCTCGTCCTAAACAAGAGTATTGCAACACAAAGGCATTGTCGAATACAGAAAAACTCGTACCGCCGGAATGGAATGTAGTATCAAGAGTAAAATAAATTTTTTTTTTAAATTTTTCAAATAACAAAAGTTATGCGTACGCGTAACATTGTTGAAATAATTGAGTTATAATATTCATGTTAACATTCTCGTATAATTTTTATTAGAAAAACATACCACACAACCTGAAAGAGCAGATACAAATTAAACTGCCAACAGAAATTCAAAAGGTAATGATGATCTCTTTTAAAATAAATAAATCAAAAATAAAAGCAAACTTATTGCTTTTTCAACTAGTGGTACCTATAAGTAATTAATAGCTTTGCGATATCATACGTAAAAGAATCCTTTTTCTTTATTTATTAATTTAAATTGTTTCAACAAAATTATTGTTTTTTAGAATGGATTTAACAAATAAGTTAAAAAATGAATCTTGAAAATATTAAAAAAAAAAAACTTAAGGGTTAAATGTTTATTTAAATTCGTTCATTGTTTTTCTTCAGGTCAATGCGCTTAAAAATTCTAAATTACCAAGTATAACAGAGAAATGCGATCTTGAACAGCCATTGCTACCCAATAGTTCGAGTGATGTTGAGAGTAACAAATCATTGTTATTGCCATGTGGAGGCAAATTGAATGAAAATACAAAAAGAAGCCATTCATCGGACGCTGAGGATATAGAAATAGAAGAAGTACATTTTTTTTAAATAATTTAATTAATAAATGTGACTAAACGATTAAACATATACTGTTATTCTTGTAGGAAATTCAGAAGAAATATCGAGCTATTCTTGACAATTTAAGTTCGGAAAATATTGTGCCGATGGCAAAACAAATTATTTCGCTACCAATAAAAACAGACGATTGTTTGAAAAACGTAGTTCAACTTTTGTTTCAAAAAGTATATAAAAAATAATTGAATTAAATCATACACATTGAATTATGCTTTAAATATGTGAATTATTTTATAAATTTTAAATTCTCTAGGCTATGGACGAACCGAAATTGACTCCTCAAATCGCACATATTTGTTCACTAATGAAAGACACGGTAGTGAAATCAAAAGATCAGAAATCCAGTCCTTCGTTTAGAAAACTTTTGATCGATAAGTGTCAAAGCGCGTTCGAGGCAATGTTTAACCGTAAGCAAATTGTAACCAAAGACCGCAACGAAGTCGAATCCTGTAAAGATAAAGTATGAAAGCCTCAATAACACCGGCTGATATTTGACAAACAATAATATTATCTTTTGTGTATGTATATATTTTAATGCGATATGGTTGTGTAACGTTACAGGAAAAGCGAAAATTACTTCAATCGAAGTTCGATCAAAAAGAATTGGATCATAGTAGACGATCTATTGCAAACTGCAGGTATATTCGCAAACGACAATTTGATAAAATAGTAATCGAAAGATAAAATAATAGTTGTAAACAATTTTTACCTCATAACTTCCAGATTTATATGCGAACTCTTAAAAGTGAACATTTTGGTGCCTTCCATACTAGAAATGTGTGCGGCACGACTCGTACAAACTTCAAAAGAGACATCAATCGAATGCGTGTGTGTTATACTGAAAAACGCCGGAAACTCATTCGACTTTGTAAGATTTACTGCCAATAATCATATATTTTCAATATTTCAGCGCATCATATTATTTTAAATACAAAATATTTATCGCAAAACACTTACGTTGAAAATATAAATTATAAATTGTAGAGTGGCATAATTGAGAAGCTACACGAGTACTCGATTGCTCATAAACAGAAATTGTCCTCGCGGATGCAGTCTATGATTCTGGATACGCTAGAGCTAAATAATAGTGATTTGATATGACGTAAAAACGGTGAAAAATCTCGTTTCAATCTCAATGTTCATTGGACGAGGTGGATGAAAGAAAATTTACACATTCGCCCATTGGAGATATAGAAGAACCTACGTGACAAAAATTGTGTTTTATAGTACAAATAGTTTTCATCAACTGATACAATCGGGGATGACGTGGGTGCTTGTCGATTTTATATCCTCAGTCGCCTTCAGTTTTAGTGAAAAGCAAACTTAATCATTAGTTATGCCTATTCATATTTTTACTTTTCATTAAGAACAGGGTAAAAATCATCTGTAATAAACATGGTTTATCCATGAATAATAAGGATAGGATATTGTTACTCTTTATTCTTAGTCACTCGAGCAATGTTTTATGTTTTTGAAGAGCGATCAAGCTATTTTGCAGAACCGTAACTTTTATGGTATTTATTATTTATCGAATATTACTACAATATTCAGATAGTTAAAAAAAAAAACCATAAAAATATTGTTGGGTGTAGTTCGGTATTTTCGTGACATAGGCAATTTCATGGTATTATTTGTTGAACATATAATATAATTCCTTATTCACGATTTATTTGAAAATTACATTTATTTATTTTTTTATTCATTTATTTTATTTATTTATTTTTTCAAGTCAATCGTGTAATAAAGAATTACACTATACACTTAACAAATAATATCATGAAATTGTCTATATCATGAAAATATCTTACTTCACCCTACTTTAAAATAGGTTGATCACTTTTAGAAGATTTAAAATATTTTTCGACTGGCTATGAAATAAAGAGGAACGTTGAAAACAGCAAGATAATTTTATTCATTTCTACAGTAGTCACTTTTGATTTTTTTTTTAAATAACAAACTTTATTATTTGAATTTTAATTCCTTAAATGTATCTTTTTCTTCTAGAATGTCAGTCAACATAACTCAGATATAAAGTTAGTTATTTTATATTATTTAGATTTATACTTTTTGAACTACATTTTTCTAATGCTTGTTATACAATTTAAATGGTAATAAGTTTAACATTTTAACATTGTTTATCTGACAAAAGATATTTATATATATGTTGATTTTGGAAAAAAAGTTGTTTCTAATGAAACTTATGATTAAATGTTGGCTTTAAAAAATCAAAAGTCGATATTGTGAATTTGCTGACAATTTTTAAATTAAATATGAATATTTAACTTGAATTTCACTGTGAATACATTAGTGTTACATTTTTTATCATATATGTGTAATCATTGATTGTTATTTAGTAGCTAGAGATGTTTAAATATTTTACTTTTGTTCATCAAACAAAGATTTTTTAATCATCAGAACATAAATTCATATCAAGATTTTTAAAAGTTACTCTGGATAATAATAGTTGAGATCTGATTTTATACATTATTGACAATTGAGAACTGAACAATGAAGCGAGAAAAATGCAGCTATATTACATAGAAAATTGCATGTATTCTCTAATTCAATTGGATCTTATACTCGTATAGTCAAATATTTTAAAGTAAAAAAAAAAAAAAAACTATTACTTTTACAAATTTGTAATAAATAATAAACGAATAACATAATAAATATTTTTTAGTTTACCGTTCCCAAGTTACAATCTACTGATAGACCAAATAATTCAAATGACAACAGAATTCGATTCCATGAGATACCGAAAAAGACTTTTGGTGATCGAAATGCGAATAAAATATCATGGGAAATTTCAGAATTTTAATGGATAGATCAAGTTGATCGTAGCTGATGAATATGCTGAATAAAACGTTCACTCTGTAAATGTTGACTATATCAAGATATCAAAGATAATGTCAGCTCATGTTGATTTGTCTTTGTCCATTTAACGTGCATCATTAAATAATGTAAATCATCATGCAAGCATGTCTTATCTTACACGTTGAGCAGAACATATAAATAAACATGATCGTCATTAAATATACCAATATTTTAATGTGCATCGACTTTTTTCAAGATACTGGTTTCATTTCAATTAATTCAAATATTCGATGTACTTACGAATTATTCTTAACTATTTGTTATCATGCTAGTTTTTTGTATATCAAAATATTTAATAGACAAACATACATTTTTGGAATATGTAACTAAATACCAAAAGAAAAATTAGAAAAAAATATTTTCTTAATTCAAAAAATTATTTATATCATGCCTATTTATTTAAGAATAAATGAACAACGAAAGTGACGAAAAAAATCATTCATATTTCTTCAGCAATACGAATGAATTTTAATTATGTTCCTTCACATTAAAAATTAACTACATTCCCAATAAATTTTTGATAATTTAACATGAGCATAAGAACGAGTTATTTTGAACGTGTCCTTTTTAATTACCGAATTTTTTTAATATTAAATCGGTGCATAACAATTCAGTATGATGTTGATTAGTAGCAGAATATCAGATTCCAAGTAATCAATTTAATTTTGATTAGGAAGGGATAATTAATAAAGTGTTTCTTTTTGAAAACTATTCTCCTATTTTTTCGATAAAATCATGGCTTGAATACAAATATTATGAAAGAGAGGTATTAGACATTAATTTTCAGTTATGTGAGTGTAGTCTATTAGTACTTTCTCACAATAGTTTTTTAATCTAAGAGCTCCTAATTCATTTGCGTTTACCATGATTGGATCCGACAAGCATTTATGATAATTTTATTATTCATTACAACAATTTTTATTATTATACAACTTATGCTAAATAATATGATTAAATAAAAAATACCTAATACTACATACTTCGAGTATAATTTTCGAAAAACAAAATAACTTAATGTTTCACGATTCTATCACGTTTTAATCATGATGATCATCATAACATTTTTTTTTTTTTAATTTTATTTGACATAAACAATCTATACAATATTGTACAATAAGTTTATTTGATGAGAGAAGAATATAACATGAAAAGGTATGATTAAGCAGCCTCCCATTAGTGACTCTTGATTATGTGAATTTTTTTTGAGTTTTTATTATTATAATTATTTATTTTACTTTTATTTTTAATTTAATTTTTTTTTTTTTTTGATCGATTGACATTAAATATTAAAGTTTTGTAATAAATCGCGGCACCACTTTCTTTTTAATCTACGATTAGGATTTTCTGGGAGTGTACGAATAGAGAGATCTTTATAAGAGGGTTAGGATGAGTTTGGAGTCGTTTGTGGAAGCGCGTGTAAAAGATGCGAGCCTCTTCTACTATTGTTCTCATATGAAGATCATTATGAAGTGTTAAATTGGAGATGTAGGATGGAGCATTAGATAGTCGTCGGAGAGATATATTTTGGAACGTTTGAATTTTATCGGTATTGGATTTTTTGGCCGCGCCCCATAGTTGAAGGCCATACGTCCAAATTGGCTTGAGTAAAGATATATAAATTAATAATTTGGTGTTCAGAGTGGAGAATTTATTTCTGATTAAAAGAGGCCTGAGCATACGCATATGGTTATTTAATGTTATTCTTTTTGTTCGAAGGTGTTTATTCCATGTCAATCTTTTATCCAGGATTAATCCCAAGTATTTGACTGTATCGGATGTAGGAATTTGTACATTTTTAAGGGTAATGTTTGGGCCTATACTTTGTTTTAATGTGAATGTTGTATGTACAGATTTATTTTGGTTTATTTTAACTCTCCATTTGTCGTACCATTCAGATAAGTAATTTAGGTGGATTTGCAGATTTGATGAGGCAGTTATAGGATCATTATTAATAAATATAATGACTTTATCGTCAGCATAATCGGCATCATAACATATAAAATCATTTATCAATGTCACATATTGAATCGGATACGGATTTAGTTTTATCATTGATTATAAATTAGTAATTTCATTTTTAACACTATAATTCTCAATAAGATAGTAATTTATTTAAGATAAATATACTACTCTGCAAGTTTGTTATGAAAATTGTTCAAAATTTTTTTCGTTTTTCATTATTAACACGTTTTTCATTAAGTTATTTATTATCACATAATCACATTGCACAAACTGAATCAATTATTATATTATTAATTCAATTGTTTTCTCCTGTATTTTATTTAATATACAAATTAACAAATAGTTTATATATATAAAAATATATAATTAAAAACTTAGCCTAGAAAATTATGTTTGAAAAGTACGATCGGTTTCGGATTAAAAATTAATTTTTCTAGATAAAAATCTATTTATTTAATCCTATCACAGCTGATAAAATTTAAAATGTATATTTATCATGAAATTACTATGAAATTTTGTTGCAGATATAAACCATTCTAGAAAAAGTCGAAATTATTGAATTATATATATAAAAAAAAAACTATATTAATTAGTGAAAGAACAATTTAGCACGCATTTTTCATATTTTTTTTTTTTTTTATAATAGATCATTATTTAAAAAATTATAAAATTAACTTTGTATGTATTTAAAGAATAATATGATATCTACCTCATGTAGTATAATTTATTTAATTTGAGTAAACTTTACACGAGTCAACTTATAAACTTTTAACATGAATTTGATGTTAATACTGTAGAATGTTATTTAGTCTCCCTTTCTACCAAACATTTGCAATCTAAATTGAACGTTTATGCAAAATGTACGATGTGCTTGATTATCGTCAGAATAAATATTTGAAATGTGCAATCAATAAATTTTAATTTGTGACGTATTATTTTATACTACAATAGATTAAATACAAATTTACATAAATAATCTTATTGTAGGCAGTGCCTAGGTAAAAGTCGTAATTATTTTAAAATTAGTTATAAATAAAAAATACCTATGGTAGTATTCAGAAAATGAATGGTTTACTGAGTGAGCACACTTAATGATTTCTCGACCATGTAATCGATTCAAAAATAAAAAATGTTTTAAACGTATGTGTAGGTAATAAAATCTAATCGTCTATTCAATATAACATATGAAATTATTTCTTTGATTATCGACTTATAATTTACTGTCCACTTAATGATTAGTAACATATTAGCAATAATAATAACGTATAATTATTTTTTTGCGTTTAAATGACTATTTTATACAGCTTTTATTTAATTTGTTTTTTTAATGGAATATTATTTCAAATAAATTATACTACAGTAATAATTGTAATAACAAAATACTAGTTATTTATTTAATAATATTTAATTTTGTACATCTAAACAAATTGAACCAGAAAATGTTTTTGAAAATCATTTAAAAAAATATTTTATAACAATAATTTATTTTAAGTTTTATTGTATATTAACCGAATAATGAAACTGTTTGCGATTATTAATATTAAATCTTAGACAATTTTGTGGATTCAATTTGAAAGAACCTGTATTTTTATTTGTTATTTAACGAACAATATATCGTAAGCTATTTCCATAAAAAATTAAAATTCTAGTTACTCGAGTGATAGTAATTTACATAATACCATATTAAATAAATACTGTGTATTTATGGCTATTGTACAGATGTTAGCAAAATATGATAAACAGAGTGTATACAATTTAATGTGTATATATATACAAATTATTATGGTTACAATCG